GACCCATGCGCGTGCAAGAGTGCACACGGGACAGGCCCTGGGAGGGGCCGCAGGAGGGAGTCAGAGCCACAGCTCACCACGCTGAGAGCCACAGGTCGCTCCTCACTCATATGGGGCGACCACTGACGCAGCCCCGTGAGGAGCGGGGGCCGTCCATCTGCCAGGTTTGAGCCTGGTCAAGTTCTTAGTTCTGGTGCAGCCCTCGAGTGGGGTCTAGATCAGGGGGACTGGACAAAAACTGCAGTACAAACAACCACAGCAGCCCCAAAGACAGGAGCGACGTCGTCAAAAAGTGCCAATCGGAAATCCGACCCCAGGGAAATTGTTTTCAAAAATAAAGATAAAATAAAGGCCTTTTTTTAGACTAAGATTAAAAGGAATTCTCAGTGTAGAAGGAAAGTGATCACAGATGGAACATCTGAGATGTGAAGGAGGAGAGTGGAGCAAAGAATAGAGCAGCTAACTCACAAACAAACAGCGACCTTATAAATACTTTGTGGGATTAAAAACATTTCATGAAAATACTTGAACACCTTCACATGTGAGCCAGAGGCACAGAGGGAGTCCTACCGGTGGGCAGAGTCCTGATTCAGTAAGCGAGCGTGCTGGGTGACACCCCAGAGATGGAGCAGACCAGCAGAGGGCAAAGGTGGGGTGAGAACAAGTAGTCTAAAGTGGCAACAGTAGGAGAGGGAGAAAACTCAGGAGAGAGAACAGCACAAAATGGGAGGGCAGATTTAAACCACAATGTGTCCGTTCCATTAGCTGATGAAGCAGGGAAAGAAACACAGAACAGGAAAACTGATAGGACAAAACAACATTTCTAACCCAAATGTATCAGTAATTTCAGCATGGCTAAAAATAGAACAGAAATGGAAATGAAGACCAAGGTTAGTTCTCCGGAAGGACTGACCAGCCTGACAGCCTTCTGGTGAAGTTAACAAAGGCGGAAGTTCAAACGACCCACGTGAAGAATGGCCAGGGGGTCGGAGCCACCTGGAAGCAGGGCACGAAGCAGAGTCCGCTTTGTCATTGGCGAGTAACGCCACGAGGGACAGCGGAGGACTCGAGAGCAGGGAGGGTTCCAGACCACGGTGCAGACCTGACGGAGCGTCAGCAACAGGCTGTCAGAGGAACTCCTGGCGGGAAGGCCAGGCCCCAGGCCCCAACTGCTCGGTCACTGGCCAGGGTGTGTCCTTGGCTCGAAGGCTGAGGCAGAGCCTGACGCCATGAGCAGCTGGTGGTCGTCTCTGACCTGCGTCCCTTCCCCTGAACAGCAAGGTCTTGCTTGAAGGGACACAACTGCCCCCACATCTCTGCCACAGGGACACAACTGCAAGTGCTAAACCTACTAAAATGCCATTAAAAGATTGAGTGTTATGTCCAAAACTTTGAAAATTAGGCAATGTAAACAAATTCCTACAGATATATAACTTATGAAAACTAAGAAGAAATGGAAAGCCTGTAGATTTAGGGCAGCCACCAACACAGTGGAAACCCCCGAGACCTCAGTGCTGGTCACAACGCAATGACTTCCCACTCTGCACATGAAGTCCAACTGCAGTCAAGGAGGGGTCTCTTCCAACAGCACATAACAGGCTTCCAGAAGCTGCAACGGAGCTGGCAAGGTCACTGAGGGAAGGGGAGCCATCAGAGTGGACCCCCAGCTCTCCTCTGCCCCGACCCTCAGTGACCACCCTCAGTCCCCTCACAGACTGTTGCTCAGAACTAGTCACGTGGCCCCAAGCCACCTGTAGGGAGGCTGGTAAATGTAGAGAGGTGTATGAATGGTCTGTGAGAACAGGATCGGCCACAGCCTGGAACCCTTCAGTAAACTCTGTCAATAGTCAAAAGTCTCCCCACAAAGAAAATTCCAGGCTCAAATGACTTCATCAGCAAGTTCCACCGAACATTCAGGGAAGAAACAGTTACAATCTTATACAAATTCTCCTAGAGAATAGAGAAGGAATGCACAGCCAAACTCTTCTTACGAGGAGAGTGTAATGACGCAAACCCTGACAACAGCAGCATTATGCAGGCAGGTCCCAGCCTCTGTCACCCACGGAGTCAGAGCTAATTACTGTCTGACTGTCCTCAGAGCAGGCAGCCCCACAGGCTCACTGTGCAACAGATACTGTCCTGGAACTTCATTTATAATAACTCATTTCATCTTCACCACAACACTACAAGACAGACACTATTATGACCCCATTTTAAAAATGAGGAAATGGAGGCCCAGAGAATTTAAATAACTGCCCAAAGTTAGACATTAAGTGGTGTACCTGAAATACCAGATCGTAAACAAAATATTAACAAGCCAAATACAACAATATGTATATATAGGAAAATCCACCATTACTAAGTTGTGCTTATCCCAGAAATTTAAGGTTGATTTTACATTAGCAAATTATTGCAATTAACACATTAACAGAATAAAGAAGAAAAATCATATGCTCATCCCAATAGCTGTAGAAAAAGTGTCTGATAAAATTTATCCATTCATGATGAAAACTTCTTAGCAAATTAACAATTGAGGAGCTTCTTAAACCTGAGAAAGTCCATGTAAAAAAAACCTATCACAGATTTTGATGTAAAATGATGGAAGTCCCCTCTTATTTAAAATCCAGAAATAAGACAAAGACGCCCCACACTACCACTTACAATCAACATTGTACTAGAGGTGTGAGCCAGCACAGAAAAGCAAAGTGACAAATATAAAGTCAAACCCAGAGTAAAGGAATGGAAAAGAAAACAAGAAAACCCGTTACTCACAGGGAACAGGACTGTGTGCGCAGAGAGGCTAAAATCCCTACAGGTAAATTTCTAAAGTTAATAAGAGTTTAACAAGATTGCAGGATACAAAATTAATATACAAAAATCAGTTGGGTTTTCATATAACTGCAACAAATAATTAGAAAAATGAAATCCAAACAAACTTTTCAATACATATTTTAGAAATGGTATCACAAAATAAGAAAAACCTAGGAATATAACAAAAGATGTGTAAAACCTCTATGGAGAAAGTTATAAAACTATAATATGTACATTATAAAGGAGAGCTAAGAAATGGACAGAGATACTATATTCATGGTCTATAAGACCCAACACTACCTATATGTCAGTGCTTCCCAAATTGACCAATGCAACCCTAAACAAAGTCCCAACTTAACCAGCTAATCCTAAAATTTATGAAATGTAAAGGGTCAAAAATAGCCAAAACCCCCTGAACATGAGATGGGAGGTCTTGCCCTACAGACGGTGGTTCTGCACAGAGATGGACAGGGAGCCCAGTGGGAAGAAAAGAGATCCAAGAACAGATGCACAAATCACTGATGACAAAGGAATCTTGTCAATAAATGATGCTGGATAACTGGACCCACATAGGAAACCAGTGAAAGTGGATCCTTAACTCTTGCAACACACACAAAAATCAGTTCCAGGTAGAATATATATCTAAACCCCAAAAGAGACAAAACTATAAAATCTTTTGGAAGTTAACATAGCAGAATGTCTTCATGACCACAAACAGAGAAAGATTTTTAAAAGTTAGGATCTGATATTCTTTAATCAGAATGAAAAAGGCTGATCAAGTGGACCATATTAAAGTTTAAAATTTCTCTTCATCAAAGGACACTATTAAAAAGTGAAAAGACAGGAAAAAAGCTATTTACAAACGTAATCCACAAAGTACAACTATCCAGCATTATAAATAACTCCTAAAAATAAATACGAGACAGGCTATCCGATAGAAAAATAGGGAAAAGACTTGAAGAGGCACTTTACAAAAAGGAAATCCAGATGGCCATAGATGTAAAAAGGTGCTCACCCCCTACAACCGAAGAGAGGCCAACACAAAGCACAGGAGGTACATTGCTGTCTCCAGACACGAAACACTGACAGTGAGGCCACAAACACCGACCCACAGACATGCCCACACACCACAAGGAGCGTGAGGCGGTTGCAGCCACTCTGGAACAGTTTGAGATTGTCTACAGTCGAGCTATTAAGAAGATAGTTAGGAGTTAAATCAAATATGAACATAATGGGAAATAAAACCTTAATCAAAAAGAACCAAATGGAATTTTAGAACTAAAAAAATATATAATTTATGAAATTAAAAATTCACTGCACAGGCTTCATGGCAGATCGATCAGGCACGCAGAAGGAAAGACCAGTTCACTTTGGACAAAACGATCAGACAGAAGCCCTGCAAGAACCAGGTGCAGAAAAGGACACCCATCACTGACCTGTGGTACCACGCCAAGAAAGCTGGGATCAAATAGGAAACCTGAAGTAGTCGTGGTCACAACTTTTCCAAATTTGAGGAAACATATAAACGCAGGTCCAAGAAGATGGACGAAATCCAACAAGAGAAACATGGTGTGTGGTGTGGTGCTCACTTTCTCCAGGCCCAGGACGGGCTGACACGACGTCTCTCAGGTGATGAGAAATCCCACCCCACACCCAAAAGCCACATGTGGTGTGACCCCCCTCCCCGCTAAGTCACAGGAGGGCTGCTGTCGGACACAAGCTGACCAGACGGAGGTCCCAGAGGACAGTCTGAAGCCCAGGGACACGCCCACTAGGGAGAGGCTGAGGACTCCGCTGGGATATCCCAGTGATAGAGCTGACACATGGCCTTTTCTTCTAGGCCTGCTGTTCCTAAATTAATTCAGATTTGTTTTAAAAAATTGCTTTGTTTTACCGCAGAAAACAAGGATTACATAAGATATGAAGTTTCCAAACTAAAAATCTAATTTTATGCCCTGTTATGAGATAATTTTCAGAAATGCACTGCAAGCAAAAGAGAGAGCTAGGGTTTGGGCAGATATTTTTATGGTGGGATTTTAATATCACAAAACAGTATTTTTTAATGTTTCCCACAACTGTAAGTGTTACTTTTATTAGGCCCTGGAACGTATTTGTTCCTGCTCACCAACCATGGTACATTGTTTTATAAAAGAATTCAATGAGAAACACAGCTATAATTTATAACAAGCTACTCTTTAGAACAATGTATTAGTTTATTAAATAAGAATTGCTTGTTACACAAAACGTTGTCTTTAACCAGCAGGAAAATACTGCATTTTCTTTATCTCAAGATATTTGACGAAAAATTAATGATCTGTTTGTCTCAAAACATGTGAAGGGCTTGGATTAATCCTGTCTTTTTAGGATGTTTTAGAAAACCAAGCTAGAGGCCCTGAATACATTTCAAAACTCACAAGATACTACAAACAGAAGACACCACTCTGACCAGCAAATACACCCGGTAAAGAAATACAGACGCGTGAGGCACAGAATCCGAAAGTGTAGGTTTAAGAGAAGCGGGGCTTCCTGGCAGGCGTCCAGAGGACTAGCAGCCGCCAAGGCTGACGCTGCCGTGCGCGAACAGGGCCATGGTCTTCTTGAGCTCTCTGTAGCTCCAGTGCAGCTGCTCCACCTCGGCCTTGTGCTGGGCCCGCGCCTGGTGCAGCTCCTGCAGGAGGTGCTCGTTGGTGCTGACCAGGGAGCTGGAGGACACAGGGAAGGCGCACCTCAGCTCTTCGCGTGGCGGCTCTGCTGCTGTTCCCCAGCAGCATCCTCCCCTCCCGGCACGCCTGCCCAGTGGCACAAAGCCACCCCAACTCCCCGCAAAGGCCAGGCTCCCCGCCACCCAGCCACGCCCAGGCCTGCACACCTGTCCCTGCAGTGGGTCCCCTCCCGCCTCCGCTGGCTACTGCTCATCTGGCCCTCACCTCCAGACCGGGTGGGCTGGGTCTGACTCAACCCCTTGGCCTGTCATGCCGCCCTGCAGGCCCTGCTCAGCACCCAGGACTGGATGGATGAACTGGACAAGTGAATGAACGGTTCCCTCCACACTCCCGCCATGCAAGGCTTTTTTGAGAACACCATCATAATCTTTATGGCTAGCAAAACAATGTTCTAATTCTAGAAAAGATCCAAAGACTGAAATATTTCTAATTCCCAGTCAAAAATAAGGACCCTCTTAATAATTCCCACATAGTACAGTATACTGTAATTGAAAGTCCTGACTTTTTAATATTGTTAACCATTTGTAATTTTAGAAAGAAAGTGGTATTGTATTTCGCCAACTTTGTCATCTCCAAATTGCCCTACTCACCCAGTCAGCAATGACTCATGGACACTTGTGGCATCACAAGAAATAGACGAAAGCAGGGCTGTTTTCTCTACAAAGATGGTCACCTCAGTGACAAATGTCCTGTGCGGGTGCCAGCCCTGTTTGCTCGGACTGCTGAAAGAGCCACTGGCCAGGCAGAGGCTCAGAGTGGAAAAAGTCCTGTGAACCTCCCACTGCCTCTGGAGGCTCTGCAGCCCCTGCCTCGTGCACAGAGCCAGGGTGCCAACACACGCTATGACCTGCCAGAGGGGGCCCCATCAGGAGCTGGGCATGGCCCTGCCTCGCCTGCCACACTCTGCACCATGACTGGCACGGCTCCCTTCCTGCTGCTCTCCGCCATGCATCCTTAGCTCAGTCTCATCTCTCAGGAGGCCCCTCCCCTCTGTAACTTGTGCCTGTGATGGCCGATGGGGTCTGTGGCCTGTAATCCCTGAAAGGTCACATCCTGCCTCCATCTATGACCTAGACTGTACCCAAACCCAGGGGGATGTGTGGTGGCCTCAGCCCCAGGAGAGAGAAAGGGGGGACAGAGGAAAAGGGAGAGGTGAGGGATGGGGACAAGAAGGGGCAAAAGCACTGGCCACAGGCCAGCCTCTCCGCCAAGGCCACAGGAGCCGGGGCTCACACAACTGCACCAAGTCCCGACAAAGCTGTCTCCACCTCACCCCACAACACACCTCCTCCCCACGACTGACTGCCTCTCTGTGTCAGCTGCCACCTGCCTTCCAGCACACAGTTCTTGGAATAAAAACGGAGGTTCTGCCTGGACATTTTCCACACTCCTAGTTCCCATCTCACACCCACTACACAGCCGGGAGTGAGGGCAGAAGCTCCACATGTCTAATTGAACAGACATGAACCAGGCTGAGGAGGAAGGAACAGGCCACAGGCCACGGCCCTGGGAACCAGCAAGCCACATTGCCTCTCACCATCCCTCACATGCCCCTCACCCCTTGGCTCCCCGGTCACACCTCGAGGCCACACCTCTCAGCTCACACCTCACAGAAAGCGCCAGCAGGAAAGGACTCGCTTTTCATTAAGATGTGGAAGCTCACAGAAGTCCTACACAAACATAATGACATGCGGGCCCGGAACAGCAACTGCCAGAGGCCTCACCAGCTGCTCCTGCGCCCTCCTGCGCCTCGACCCTCCCCACAGCTCCTCCCCCATGCCCCGCAGCACCTGTGGCTCTCCTGCAGCATCTGGGTGAGCTCCTGGATCTTGTCATAGTGCTCCAGATGCTGCTTTAGCTCCACAATCTCACCAGAGAGCCTCTTCACACTTGTCTGAAGTCCTGAAAGAGAAAAGAAGTAGCATCGTTTAGTGAAAGTTTTGAAAACTAACACAATTCTAGACTTTAAACTGGATCTGGGATATAAGAAAAAGAACATAGCTTGGAAAAGGTCAGTCTTTGTAAGCGACTCAAAGACAGAGATGAACACAGAAGGCCCTACTACACATCTACTCATTCCTGCTCCAGGCCCATCTCTGGCTCCCCTCCTTGGGGTCGAAGCCACAGGAACCTGTCCTCCAGACACCTGAGGAGCCACTCCCCTATGTGGAGGGCAGAGGGTGGTGGCAGAGGAGGCTGGCACCGGCTGGAGGCTCCTCCACTGGCCCTGCCTCCTGGCAGGGAAGGGCCTTCGGGTTTCTCTTCCTCTGAGCAGAGAGCTCTGCCTGAGGGGAGGGTCTGCGGCTCCGGGAGAAGCCCTAAGAAGCCCTGGGGCCACACGTCTCTGACGTGCCCCTGGTCCTGTGTCCATCACTGACAGAGCACGTGTCTGGATTCCATCTACACGACTCCTGTCTCTCTCTGGAGAGGGGAACTCGAGAGGGGAAGAAATATATTCTCGATTGACTCCCGAATCCAAAACCAGGACCCAAATAAATCCACATGCAGACACACCACTGCGGGACCACACAACACCAGAGACAATGAGGAAGCCAGGGTGGGAAGGCGATGGGCAAAGTGGTGACAGTGACGCTGACCGCAGGCTCTCTCACAATGAGCACACAGCAATGGCTAGGATGGGAAGACACTACTCAGAATCTATGTCCACCTAAACTTCCCTCCAGGGCGTGAATGAAAGGAATTCTGGGAAGAGGGCAGTGGCGGCATGGTTTTGGGATCCCCCAGAATTCCCACATTAGTCAACACTAAGAGTAATTAGATGACAAAACCAAAGCCCCACAGACAACATCACAGCACCTGGTGATAAGGCAGCCTCAAGGCCCCAGACAACATCACAGCACCTGGTGATAAGGCAGCCTCAAGGCCCACAGACAACATCACAGCACCTGGTGATAAGGCAGCCTCAAGGCCCACAGACAACATCACAGCACCTGGTGATAAGGCAGCCTCAAGGCCCACAGACAACATCACAGCACCTGGTGATAAGGCAGGCTCAAGGCCCCAGATACGAGACAGCCACAAGTCCAGCAGGTGTCTGTACCTGCAGGGGAAGCAGCAGGCAGCAGTGGGCAGCGGACAGACCTGAGGGCAGCAGAGCCCCCAGTGTCTCCATCTTCCCAGGAAACCCTGGGGGCCAAGTAGGGAACCAGGGCTGACAGAGGGAGGCCTGGCCTTCTCCAAAGAGGGGAGACTGGGGGTCTGAGAAGCATGAGGGCTGGAGCAGCCTGTGACCCCTCGAGGTTGACCTACCCAGTCCCTTCCAGACCGCAGAGAAGTGGATGCTGAGGTATTCGGTCAGGCGGACACAACAGTAGGGGGCAGGATGAACAGGCACTAAAGCCCCGGAGGAGGCACCACATTTACCAGAGAAGTTAGCAAAGCGGCCTGACCTGCTCCTAAGAGCTCAGAACGAACTTCGTGTGTCAAAAGGAACAGATGAGCAGTGAGGTCAGACCCCACACAGAGCTACTGTGAGCACAAAGCACCTCCCTGTGGACACGAAAGCCACGCCCCAGAGCAGACCTCATCGCGCCCGTTTCAAAAAGAGCTGGAGACAAAAAGGAAACAACAGAGAAATGAAAGCACCACCTCAGTCAGAACTGAGAAGCTGAACTCATGCAAGATTTGCAACAAAGAAAAACTTAAGAAACGAAAGCTGTGCTGCGTGCGAGCGTGGTCAGTCCCTCCGCCTGCTTTGGTTGAGACTTCCATCAGGGCCTGTGGCCCTACCACTGCCCTTCTGTGACCACACACATGGCCACAGCATCAGCGTCTCACTCACACGACCGCCCGTGCCACACGACACAGTCTACACACACGGCCACAGCATCAGCGTCTCACTCACACGACCGCCCGCGCCACACAACACAGTCTACACACACGGCCACAGCATCAGCGTCTCACTCACACGACCGCCCGCGCCACACGACACAGTCTACACACACGGCCACAGCATCAGCGTCTCACTCACACGACTGCCCATGCCACATGACACAGACTACACATTTTTAAAATCCAAACCTTCAAGAGATCCCACTTCACCCCCAGAGAAGGTGGCAGCTTGGAGCACAGACACACCAACACCCCTTATCCAAAGTCCCAGTATCTGAACCTGAAATACTGAGGGTGCTGCTGTAAAAATGGCAAAACAGAATCCAAGTGAAGACAGGGCACGAACATGATCTGGGTCTGGAAGGAGCAGTGACCAGGGAGGACACGGTGCCTCCTTGGCAGAGACAGGCGGAGCAGAGGTGCGATCAGTCTGCACCCTCAGAGAGGCAGATGGACTAGGCACCTGCTGTCCAGGCGTCAGGACCACAGGACAATACCTGAGGTTTCCATGGAGTCGCAGATCCAAGCAGTGAGGGAGGACCTGCCCGGAGCTCACGTGGAAGCTGCTTCTCCCCTCTGGCTCAGCTCTCCTTCCACACACCTGGCCAGGCTTGCTCCAGGTAGGCAGGAGCATCACCCATGAGCCAAGACGACCCTCACAACAACCAGGATGACCCCATTTTACAGTATTTGCTGGTTCTGAATTCTGTGAATAATTTAAAACAAAGTCTACATATGAATATTCACCAAGTAATAGTACCAAATAAACTATAAACTTACCACTGATCTGCAAATTTAACGTAGCTGAAGCATCTGCATTTTTTACTTCTTTTTTCATGCTGAACAAGAGAGACTTTAAGCTGCTGTTCTCCTCCAAAGATTTGTCTAAATGTTGCTGCAAGTCATCCTAGGGACATAGAACACACTTAAAATAGGAAAGTCACATTCAGTAAGATGCATGTAGAAAATCACATGAAACCTACTGAAATCACCAGATCTCAGTTTCCTCTTGCACATCCTAATTGCTGGGGCACATGCAGGGTTTTTTCCTTTCTGACTTATTTCACTTAGTATGATGTCGTCGAAGTCCATCCACGTCATTGTGAATGAGAGGATTTCCTTCTTTTACGGCTGAATAACATTCCATTGTATACACACTACATGTTCTTTATCCGTCTGTGTGCCAATGGACACTTAGGTTGCTTCCATGTCTGGGCTACCTCAATGCTGCAATGAACGTGGACTGCAGATATCCCTTTGCGACACTGATTTCATTTCCTATGGGTATATACCCAGAAGGGGAATTGAATGGCTGGATCATGATAGCTGCATTTTAAATTTTTTGAGGAACTTCCATACTGTTGTTTGTAGTGGCTGCACCAGTTTACACTCCTACTAACAGTTCACCAAGGTTCCCTTTTCTCCACATGTTCTCCAACACTTGCTATTTCTTGTCTTTTTGATAATAGTCTTCCTAACAGGTGTGAGGTGATATCTCATTGTGGGTGGGTGTTTTCTTTTTTTTTTTTGGTGAGGAAGATGGGCCCTGAGCTAACATCTGTTGCCACTCTTTTCTTTTTGCTTGATGAAGACTGGCCCTGAGCTAACATCTGTGCCAATCTTCCTCCATTTTGTATATGGGATGTTGCTACAGCATGGCTTGATGAGCAGTGTGTAGGTCTGTGCCCGGGATCCAAACCCGCAAACCCCGGGCTGCTGAAGCAGAGTGTGCAAACTTAACCACTACACTACCGGGCTGGCCCCTCACTGTGGTTTTGATTTGCATTTCCCTCATTAGTGATGTTGAGCATCTTTTCATGTACCTGCCAGCCATCTGTGTGTCTTCTTTGGAAAAATGTCTATTCAGATCCTCTGCCTTTTTTGTCTTTTTTTTTTTTGCTATTGAGTTGTATGAGTTCTTCATATAGTCTAGATATTAACCCCTTATCTGATGTATGATTTACAAATATTTTCTCCCACTCCCTAGGCTGCCTTTTCATTTTGTTGATGGTTTCCTTTGCTGTGCAGAAGCGTTCTAGTTTGTGTCATCCCACTTGTCTATTTTTACTTCTGTTGCCTTTGCTTTTGGTATCAAATACAAAAAATCATTGCCAAGGCCAAGTCAAGGAGACTTTTCTCTATGTTTTCTTTAAGGTTCCAGTCTTACATTTAAATCTTGTATCCATGGTGAGTTGATTTTTGCATATAGTGTAAGACAGGGGTCCAGTTTTCCCAACACCATTTCCTGAAGAGACCAGGTCCCTTCCCCATTGTAGATTCTTGATGTCCCTGTTGGAAATTAGCTGACCACACATGTGTGGGTCTATTTCTGGGCTCTCTCTTCTGTCCCATTGATATATAGTCTGTTTTTATGCCAGTAACATACTGCTTCTATAACTACAGCTTTGTAATACACTTTGAAATCAGGATGTGTGATGCCTACAACTCTGTTCTTCTTTCTCTAGATTGCTTTGGCTGTTCAGGATCTATTGTGGAACTAAAAAAAGAATACAAATTATAAGAAAAATAATTATACAAATTTTAGAATTCTTTTCTTCTATTTCTGTGAAGAATGCCATTGGAATATTTAAGGATTGCACTGACACTGTAGATGGCTTTGGGCAGTACAGACATTTTAACACAATTAATCTCCCAATCCATGAACACAGGATGTCCTTCCATTCATTTGTGTCTTCTTCAATTCCTTTCATCAACGTTTTATAGTTTCCAGTGTTAAGATCTTTAACCTCCTTGGTTAGATTTATTCCTAAATATTTTACTCTTTTTGATTTTATCATAAATGGGGTTGTTTCCCTGGTTTGCTTTCTGGATTAATCACTGGTGTAAAGAAACACAACTGATTTTTGTTACGCTGACTTTGTATCCTGCAACTTCACTGAATTTATTAGTTCTAAGAGTTTTTTCCTGGTGTCTTTGGGGTTTTCTACATACGTGGTCATGTCACCTGCAAACAGAGCTAATATACTTCTTCTTCCTTTCCGATCTGGATGCCTTTTCTTTCCTTCCCTGTCTGCTCCCTCTGGCTAGGACTGCCAGTCCTGTGCTGAACAGAAGTTGTGAGAGTGGACATCCTCATCTTGTACCGGATCTCAGAGGAAAAGTTTACAGTGTTCCCACTGATCACATTAGCTGTGGGCTTTTCATAAATGGCCTTTATTGCACTGAGGAAATTTTCTTTTATATTTATTTTGTTGAGAGTTTTTTTTATCACGAATAGACGTTGAGGTTTGTCAAATGCTGTTTCTGAATCTATTGAGATGATCATGTGGTATCTTTCAATCTGTTAATGTGGCATATTAATTTGCATATGTTAAACCAATTTTGCATTCCAAAAATCTCACCTGATCATGGTGTATAATCTCTCTGATGTGTTGTTGAAACACCAGTTTGCTAGTATTTTATTGAGAATTTTTATATCTATGTTCACCAGGGATACTGGCCTGTGGTTTTCTTCTCTTGTGGTGTCTTTGTCTGGCTTTAGTATTTTAACTTCATAAAATGAGTTTGAAAGTATTCCCTGTACTTCTATTTTTTGGAAGAGTTTAAGAAGGAGTGATATTAATTCTTCTTTGAATGTCTGGCATAATTCAGCTGTGAAGCCACCTGGTCCTGGGTTTTTCTGTTGAGAGGTTTTGATTACTGCTCAATCTCCTTATTTGTTATTGGTCTGTTCAGGCTTTATTTCTCTTCTTGATATAGTCTTGGTAGGTTGTATGTTTCTAGGAATTTACCCATTTCTTCTTGGCTACCCAATGTATTTGCATATAATCACTCATAATAGTCCCTCATGATTCTTTTTATTTCTGAGGCATCCATTGTAATGTCTCCTCTTTCGTTTCTTATTTTTAGTCTTCTCTTTTTTTCTTAGGTAGTCTAGCTAAGGGTTTGATGATTTTGTATATTTTTTCAAAAACTCAGCTCAGTTTTGTCGACTTTTTCTATCGTTTTTCTAGTCTCTATTTGATTTATTGATTGATTGATCTTTATTACTTCCTTCCTCCGGCTAACTTTGGATTTAGTTTGTTCTTCTACTTCTTTGAGGTGGAAAGTTAGGTTATTTGAGATCTTCCTTCCTTCCTTCTTTTTTTTTTAAAGATTGTCACTTGAGCTAACATGTGTTGCCAATCTTCTTTTTTTTCCTTCTTCTTCTTCTTCTCCTCTCCAAAGCTGCCCAGGACATAGCTGTATATTCCATTTGTAGGTCCTTCTGCCTCTGCCCTGTGGGATGCTGCCTCAGCATGGCCTGACAAGTGGTGCCATCTTGGCGCCCAGGATCCGAGCTGGTAAAACCCTGGGCCGCCAAAGCAGAGAGTGTGAACTTAACCACTCAGCCACGGGGCAAGCCCCTTTCTTCTTTTTTTAACGTAGGCATTTACGTGTGATGGTCTTATGGTGAGGTTACAAAGGACAGCGGCAGCCGTGTTCAGCCAGGAGTCTTAGGCTCTGCTGCCAGCCAGCTCCAAGCTGTGCTGGCTCTGGCTGTCCTTGGGTGCCACCTGGTGGCAGAAGGTCCCTCAAGTCCCAAAGGACATCTCAGGGCTGGCCGGCAAGGACCCCAGGATCACCTAGCTAACCACAACCTCTCTCCCCAGTGGTTTGGGGAGCCTGGGCCAGGGAACAGTGGGGCCACAAAAGCTCCACCCTCGCTCCGTCTCTCCTGCTCAGAAGAAGAGGTAGCCATCTGGGAGAGGCAGAGCTAGGACAAGCGGCAACGCTGCCATCTGAAAATCACTGTTGCCATGGGGTCTGGGAGTGACACAGCCAGGCAGTGCCCCTGGGGGGCAGGAGTCCCCGGTGGTGGGGAAAGCCTGGTGGGGGAGGGTGGCTATGGTTGTGGAGGGCAAGAGGGGAGCCCCAATGCTGTGGCCGAACAGCAGTTGAGGGGAAGTGCGGAGTCAAAAGGCCCTCCTCGTTCTGCAAAGTCCAAACATTTTCACCCCATCTGTGAACAAACAGAACTAACACAAGGGGCGCAGCTCACCATCTCCTTCCGCGTGCTGCTGAGTTCCGACTCTACCTCACTCATCTTCACACTATGCTGCTGCTGTTGCTCAGCAAGGTGCTTTTGCAGAGATTTATTTTCAAGAGTCAGGTAGCTAATCTCTTCATTCACAATTGTTGAGTTGTCCTGAGTTGCTGTAAATTCTTGAGCAGATGACAAAATATGTCTTGCCTGAGCTAGGAGCAAAAATCAAATACTATTATAGCACTTATGTTGAAAGGATAAAGCATAAACAAATTATGTTCACTATATTTTGAGTAACACAGACTACATGCCTCAAGAACACTGACCACTGAAGTGACCTCACTTGGGTTTCTTTATGTCCAGTAGTGGGTGGGAGGCGGAGAAGAGCAGAAAAAGTCTCCTTCTAGAGCAAAGGAACCTCTGAAGAGAAGGCCGTGACTAGGACGGTTTGGCTGCACGCCCTAGCAGACCACCATGCTCTCTTCCATAGCACTGCTTGCTCCTGGCCGGGGACCTGCTGTGCAGTCTGGCAGCTCCACCACTGGGGACAACAGCTGGGTCTCACAGACGAGTCCCGCTGCTAGCCCTATCAACAGGGTGTAGTTTACAGGGTCGGGATCCAGTGGCTCCAACTTCTCGGGGCATCTTGATTCCAGAGGAGAAGCTGAGGGGCCACGACACTGAGCAGAGTGCTCAGGAGCCTCTGGCAGTGGCTCAGACGGCAGCTCCAGGCAGAACCCCAGGTCTGCCAGGAAGGAAAGAGCTGGCAAGTTCCGCTCCCAGTGGGACCCTGAAGGCTGCACCCCAGGCTGCGGGAGAAAGAGAAGGTAGCCCTCGGGCATGCAGCATCTCCTCACCTCACACCAACTCTGGATGCAGGGGTCCCCAGTGTGCTCCTGCACCCAAGCACCAGGCAGAAGCAAACCCAAGTCCTCTCTGGGGAGGGGCCATCCTCCTGGGCCTCAAGTCATTTGTACCAAAGCTCAGCCAATCCAGGGCCTGCACCCAAGCAAACCTTCAGAGGGTTTGTTCGGAGCAGACAGCAGCAGCTTTTAATCTCTCCAATCCCCACATAAAAACAGCAAAGTGAAGCAAACACCCAAGAAAGCATTTCCAACAAAACCAGGCAACAAGGTGCACTCCATGAACCCCCAGTGCAGCAGGTGGGAAACCAGCAGCCACAGGCCTGCGTGGTGCTTGCCTGAGTCGCGCTTGCGTGTCACACCTCAGGGGCCCAGCCTGCAGCAAGCAGGGACAGTGACAGCTGATGAGGAGGGTCCAAAGGGAACAGAGCCCAGAACCCAGGAGAAGGAAAGCACCACAAGCAGAACGCTGCCTGGAGGGTGGGCCCACACGTGGGTCTGCATCGACAAGCAACTGTCCCTTCCTGACTCACCCAGGAACGCCTCGTTGCCACGCAGGGACTTGCAGCCACTCCAGTACCTGTCCACCAGGTCCAGGAGCGCCTCCAGGAGCGCCGCCTCCAGGGCAGTCTTCTTCCCAGGTGGCACAGCAGAGCGTGATTCAGGAGATAGCTGCGATAGAGACAAAATCACGACACCAGTTTTCATTCCTGAAACCAGTGGGTTACTACGTGAACACAGCTTCTAAGCCTGGCACACTTGTGTACCCACCACGCACAATGCTGACACCCTCATCCCACGGAGACCTGCACGAGGGGGCCCTTCACACTTCACAAGTGGTAACAGGTATAGGGTTATGAGTGCACTTCCTCATGTAAATGTGGTTTAACATTAATAATATGTATATGTGCCTCGTTGTGTTATGATTAATATACAGAGGGAACACAGGGCATTAGTAACAATGAGGTTAATTCCTATTAGCATAATGGTAATGGCAGACCGTGACAATGATGACACTACTTCGGACAGTTCTCCGATTAGGTTAACTGTTGTGGGGTAAGGCCAGACGGCTGAGACTAAGAGTCATCAGGCTGCTATCAGCGGGAGGAGCGCACGTACTCCACAAGGTACACACAAGGTACTCCACAAGGTACCACCAGGTGCAAGCACTGTTCAGCCATGAATGTGTTCCTGCTTTGAATCTGCTCGACAGAATGATAAGAGGTGAGGCTGTAACTATCGGGGCTGTGGCTCCTCTTTACCTTCGTGGTGTCTGAATAAGAGTCACTACAGTTACTAGGGCTGTGTGGCTGACAGAGGGGTATGCCATGAGAGATTTTAAGTCTGTTTGACATAAACAAATAGAGCTGGTTGTAATTATTCCTCATAAGGATGATATGAGGAATGGATATGCCAGTTTGTTAAGGGATTTAATACTGTCAGAATTCGTGGTATTCCTTAACCACCTAGTTTTAATAGAACAGCTGCAAGTACTGTGGAGCCGGCAATGGGGCTTCTGTGGGTGCTCCTGGTAATGAGGGACGAAGGCTGGAGGGAGGTGTTTTTCACTGCGAATGCTATTCTGCATGCCAATCACAGGGAAATGCTGGACCAGGACCTGGGCGTTGTTTGGATTCAGTATCGGATTATTGGGAAATGTAATGAAGCTGTCAGGTCTGGGATGAAGATCAGTGCAACAAGAAGTGGAAGTGATCCTACTAACAAACAGACAGGAAACAGTCCTACGTCTAGTCGTTCTGTTTCATCTCCTCTGCGAGTAATAATTAGTGTTGGGACTAATGCTGCTTCAAACAATGTGGAAGAGAATTAGTTCTGCAGCAGTGGACGTTCTAATTACAAACGTTTATAGATGATCAGTACTGCACTACATAATTTTTTTCAGATTAAATGTTCTTTGGAGGGGCCGGCCTGGTGGCACAGCAGTTAAGCGCGCACATTCTGCTTCAGCGGCCCGGGGTTCGCCGGTTCAGATCCAGGGTGCGGACACAGCACCGCTTGGCAAGCCATGCTGTGGCAGGCGTCCCTCATATAAAGTAGAGGAAGATGGGCATAGATGTTAGCTCACGGCAAGTCTTCCTCAGCAAAAAGAGGAGGATTGGCAGCAGATGTTAGCTCAGGGCTGATCTTCCTCCAAAAAAAATTGAAAAAAAAAAAGCTTCTTTGGATAGATGGTATTGAAGAAGCCATGTGTCAGTGCTAGCAGGGCAAGAGTTAGCGCCAATAGGGAAGTGGAGAAGAGTATCAGTGAAAAATTAAGGCTGTTATTCAGTTGATTTAACAGAGATAGGCTAATAAGCATAATAGACTATAAGTTGTGGTATTAATTCAGATTGTTATTTTTTGATAGTCATGTTAATGCTATTAATATAATAGTTGGAATAATAATTTTTAGTACTGGAGAAGGTTAAGGTTTTGTACATAATTAATACCCTAAGTACTGGATACTATAATTAGTAATGATCGTCCCTGTGTACTGCACAGCTTCGCAGGCTACAAATACTAATTAAATAATAGGTATCATGCTGGCTAATGTAAAATGGGCATTTAAGATTATTACACTTGCTATAATAAATAATGATAATATTACACCTTCTAAGCATAGTAATGATGATATTAAATGGGATCAATATATTAGTGATCCTATAAAAGATATTGTAAATGGTAAGATGATGTTAATATGGACTAGATGTTAATATGGACTAAATATTAAATGGGACATTTGATAATTATGAAATAAATCACAATTTAATGAGTCAAAATAATTTGTTTTAATTTAAACTAATCATCACACTCAGTTCATTCTAGCCTTTTTGAGCTCATCCATAAGATAAGCTAATGGTGAGTAATGAAATTGGAACTAGTGCTATGGTAAGCATGGTTCTTGATTATTTGTTTGGGATGCTCATGGTAGGGGTTGGAGGAGAGCAATTTCCAGATCAAATAACAGAAATGTGATGGCTACTAGAAAAAATGTTATAGAGAAGGGCAGGTGTGCTGATCCTATAGGGTCAAATCTGCACTCAGAAGGGAGAGATTTCTCTCTGCAGACATTTAGTTGGGGTAATCAGAATGCGATAAATACAAGTAATGAGGCTTACAGTGTACTGATAATGTCATATAAGGTTTTATTCTTCTTCTTTGGGTTGTACTGAAACTCATCGAAAGTCAATTGTACTATTTAATACTAAAAGAGTAGGATCCTCATCAATAAATAGAGACACATAGGAACAATCATACCACATCTACAAAATGTCAGTATCAGGTAGCTGCTTCAAATCCAAAAGGACTGTTAGATGTAAAATGAAATTTTAGTTGATGTAGAAAGCAGACGATAAGGGAAGTAGAGTCTACAGTTAAGTGTAGTTGGTGGAAGCCTGTAGTTCTGAAGAATCCTGACCCATAAAAGCCATCTGAAATGTAATGACGTTTTGTGGTACTCTGCGGCTTCTAAGAGAGTAAAGTAAACCCCTAGTGAGATTGTAATAAATACGGCTTGAAGTACATGCTTGCGATTTCCTTCTATTAAGCTATCATGTGCTCAGGTGATGGAAACTCCAGATGCTAACAGTACCGAGGTCTTGAGAAGAGGTACTTCTAAGAGATTTTGGGGGTGAATGCCTCAGGGTGGTCAGCAGCCACCTAATTCGGGTGTTGGGACTAAGCTTGAATGGTAAAAGGCTCAGAAAGAGCCAAAGAAGAAAGACTTCTAAAATAATAAAAAGAATTATACCATATGGGAGTCCTTTCTGCATGACTGGTGTGTGATGGCCTTGAAATGTACTTTCTCCAATGACGTGCTGTCAAAATTGATATATGGTTAATACATTCATTAATGAGCCTAGGAATAATAGGAATGTTGAGTTAAAGTGGAATCATATTACTAGTCCAGACGTTATGAGAGCTGAAAGAGCTCCTGTAAGTGGTCAAGGGCTGGGACTGACTATGTGATCTACATGGGTTTGGTGTGTCACACGGGTATCATCATGTAAACAGAGGCTCACCAAAAGAGTAAATGCGTGGGCTTGAACTAGGGCCACTGCCAATTCAAGAACAGCAAGTGAGATAAGAATAATACAGGCAATGAAAGCTGTAGTGGGGCTGATATTTATCAGGGCTACGGTGGCTCCTCCAATTGGCCGAATTAGGAGGTATCCAGTAGTAATGTTAGCTGTTTGTTGTATAAACTAGCAGTTTCAATAATCACTAGTAGAGGAATGAGAAAAACAGGCGTTCCTTGAAGTAAATAAGGATGCTTTTTTGTTTCATGTCAGAACACTGTTATCACTGTTCCTGCTCCCAGGGAAGAGCAATTTCTAAATTGTTTGATAGTTGTGTAATGGCTGTGAATGAGCATGGTAAAAGGCCCAGTAGGTTTGCTGAGCTAATAAATAGGATGAGTGATGTAAGTATTAGGACTCAAGTTTGTCCTACATGGTTGTGAATAGATATCACTTGTTTTGATATAAGTTGAATTAATCATTGTTGAACAGAAATTAGATGGTTGTTAGTCAGCTGGAAGTAAGGAATATAACGGTTGGAAATACAATGATCAGAATAATAAGAGGTAATCCTATTGTTGGGGTAGCCAAAGAGGTAAATAAACTTTTGTTCATTTTGATTCTCAAGGGATAATATGCTTTAATGATTTGATTGTTTCTAGTTCTGGGTTTGAGGGATAAAAGTGCCTTGAAATTTTTAGTTGAAATCCAATAAGTGATGTTATAATTACTGATATAATAGTAGCAAATCATGCTGATGTGTCCAGCTGTGGTATATCATTAAGGAGAGATTTAAACTCCCAGTCTTCAACTTGAAAGGTTAATACTATACAGCTTCTTAATGATTTTATAGTATGGAAAACAGATCACTTTTCAAAATATTTTAGTGGGACTAACTGAAGAATAACAGGTATAAAGCAGTGATTTGATCTGCAGATTTCTGAGCACTGCCCACAGTGCACGCCTGGTCGTGCAGGTGAGAGGGTTGCTTGGTTAGGCGTACCCCTTGGTTAGGGGTAGCATCTGTGTTCAGGCCTAGACAAGAAACAGCTCACAAATGCAGGACATCTTCAGATGAAATAAATATTCAGATTGTTCTTTCTATAGGTAAAACCACTCAGTTATCAACTTCTACAAGTCACAGTTCTCCTGGTTTTAAATCTGATGTAGAAACTACAGAGGAGTCAAAATTTAAATCTTCATCATCTGTATCTTCACAGCTTCAGTGTCATCCGTGGCTTACAGTTCTAACAGTTAGGGAAAGATTATTAATTTCGTCTATTATATAGAAAATTCATAATGATGGTAGAGTAATTAGAATTGAACTACTAGCTGGTAAAATGGTTCAAATTGTTTCTACTTCTTGTGCATCTATAGTACTTGTGTGGGTTGATTTAGTTGTTAACATTAATGAAATAATGTATAATACTAAAGAGCTAATTAGGAAAACAATTATTAGCGTGCAGTCATAAAAGTGAAGAAGTTCTTCTCTAGCAGGGATGTCGCATCTTGAAAGCCCAGTTGAAATGGATATGCCACAGAGATATAAAGGGATTTAACCCGTAATTTAACTTAGACAAAGTTATGTAACTTCCACTAATACCCCATTTACTGAGAAAGACATCATGATTTTGGTTTTGGCTTGAAACCAGTTAGAGGAGGCTCGATTCCTCCTTTTTTATTTTAAATTTACGCAAGTAGGTTCATCAAATATATGCTATGGTGGGGAACATTCACACACTCACTCAAGGCTGGTAGTAGTTGATTCTATTGATACTTCTTGTTGGAATGTGAATTCTTCTCAAGTTATGAAAATTATTAATTTGTAAGTGAAATAAATGACCCAATAAATGAAATGGTGTTTCATGTTGTATATGCATCTGGACAGTCGGATAGCGTCATGGTATTCCCAAGAGGCCAAATCTGCAGGGGTATGGGCCCACAGGATTCACCTCCTGGCCCCCTGGACGTGTGGCCCCGCGCAGGTTACGAGAGCTGAGTGTCCACATCTGTGGGGTGGGGATGACACCCCACACCAGGAGGAATGGCTAAAGGAAGTATGGAGGAAACTAGACCACATGGTGCTACATGAAATCCACGCCACAGTCTGAGGGCTAAGGCTGTGGGACTCCAGTTCCCAAGGGACAGCTTCCTCTGGGCCCTCCCGAACCAGCCTGCAGTCTCTCCTGGAGGGTGGGGACCCTCAGAGGAAGTCTCAGCCTGAACGGTCCCTGGCACCCAGAAGGCCCCGAATGTAATGAAGTCACACACTGGACCAGATGGAGGTCAGGCCAGGATAGTGCAGGCAGGAGAGGCTGCCAGCAGAACCGTCAGGGCTACACCACCCAGTGCCTGACCACACCAGTGCCCCAGGGGCCTCAACACACAGTCAGCCGTCATTGGCACTCGCATCAGTGCTCTCTTTTCCTCCCTATAGAAACTCTTTTACCAATTTAAAAAATTTACGGAAGAAAGAGAGATGGCTCCTGCTCTTCTGCCCACTTTCTGAGTGTCTAGGGAACACTTACCGGGAGTTAAGGATTTGGAGAGGGGGAGGGAGTAAATGCCACACCTATCTCGGCCCCAAACAGCCAGGACTTGGCCAATAACTGACCACTTCCCTCATTTTTTTCCATTTCCAACTCAGGGCCAAAACACTTCCCTAACCCACCACACCGGCCGCCCCCTTCTAGTGAGCCGGCCCTGCCTCCCCAGGCCCACAGCCCCATCAGGGCACCTGCTCCCCGCTCCGGCCACTGTGACGCTCTCCCCTCCTCGGCCTGCCTGGGGGTCTCTGCCACACGCAGTGCCGTGGCCAGCCCTGCCTGGCTGCAGCAGTGGAGGTCTTCACTTACTACCACAACTTGGAGTATGTCTCCAAGTCTCCAACCGGGCCAGTGAGAAAGCAACAGAGGCATCATCCACGTGGCTTTGGGTCACTCTGAGGGTGGGAGAACCCTCACTCCCTAACCAGGATGAGTCTTTGGAAAACTATGAAATGCACGTCCAGGGACCCCTCACGACAAGGCCATTGATGGCTCCGGCTGGCCGAGACGACGGATTCCAACTCTGGAGACAAGTGCCCTTGTAAGCACAGGGCGAAACCACCTCTCCCCTCTGCAACGTGACCTCTGCCTCGAGGCGCGGCATTGCAGGAAGGGGCACGGAAGCACACTCCTAACGAAGCAGGGATGACAGGCGCTAAGGAAAATGCGTTCAACAGCCACACTCACCACGGGATCACAGTAATGCTGAAACAGCAGACGTGGCGTCACAAAAGACAGCAGGCCCTCGCTGTTGCCACCAGCCACTCAGCTCTCCCACTCACCTCTCTGTTGCTGCTCATGCCGCGGGGCCTCTGCTCTTCCACATGAGAAAAGGCCCTCTCGCTCCCGCCCTCTGAGATGTTCGGCCTGCCCAGACTCTCCTGGGGGCTCGAGGGCCCACTGGCCCTCTCCAGGCAGCTCAGACAAGCCTGGTCTGCAAGTGCCTGGAATTTCCCGCCAGGCATTCTTCGCTTCCTGTACTTTTCAGGAGCAGGCAAAGGATTAAACACTTTTTGTGTTAACAAGCTTGACTTCTGAGATGAGGAGGCTGAGTCCTCGATGTCTGCGGAGTCTGTAACAGAGGGAAGAACAGAGCCCTCCTCAGACCAAGTTCTCGGGGCTCAGGGACCAGTACTGTAATTTTAAAAGGTGTGTGGTGTGCACGCACACACAAATATGGAAAATCCGTCAAAAAGTGACGAGACTAAAGTAATAACTTTAATAAATGAATCAGCCAATTACTGCTTCCTTGCCAAAATTATGTATCACAAAGATGGGTCAAGTGAGCAAAAACTTAAAATTTGGAAATTACAGAGGATTTAACAATCTTTCCTATGGGAGATTCTTTTAACATACTGACACCTAAGACCGTCCCCCAGCCACTGAGCTACTCCCCCAGGGTGGGTGTCCAGCGAGCGCTGCCCAGCAGCAGGACGAAGCGAGGGCTCTCCAAAGGCAGGCATTGTCTGGGCCTCGAGGGCCCAGCCCGCCCTGCTCGCCTGCTGAAGCTCCCCAGCGCTGAGTCCTGGGACCCCCCTCTGCCTGGACTCTGCTCTCTGGACTCTGCCCAGCCTCACTCCCTACGCCCCAGGCTCAGATCCACCTCACAACACTGGCCGCCAGCCCAGGCCCCTCCTCTGGGCTATCACTGCTGGGCTCTCACACTGAACAATGTCCCCATGCCCTCAGGCTCACCTCGAGTAGAGCCCGGCCCAGGAGGTCCCCAGCTGACCCCGGCCTCGAGTGCCCGCGACCCGAGTGGACGACACCAAAGTCGTCTGGCTGCCTGGGTCAGAGATCACTTGGACAGCGCCCCCTCCACCCTGAGCTCCACATCCATCACCAAACTTCACCAAGTCCATCGACCACCACCAGCAGGGCCAGGCCATCCCCCTCACCTTGCTGGGACTGGTCTACCACATCCACTTAGATGGACCCTCCACTGCCCACAACAACCCAAACACACGTTGGTCACTCTGTGCCACCCTCCCAGGGACAGATATAGCTCGTTGCAGCCCATGCACTGCCACGCCGTGTCACCTCCACCTGCAACCTGCGCTTCTCTTCCTTCTCCCCGCTCCGGCCTCACAGCCTCTGAGTAAACCCACCCACCAAAACCCATGGCTAAGTCTAGCCACCAGGAACCAGCAGACAAGCTATACTGGGGGTCACCCCACAAAAGTGAAGTGTGAATGCTTCAAAATCCCCAAGGTTACAGAAGACAGAAAGATTGAGAAATTGTTCTGGGTCCCAGGAGTCTGACAAGACATGACAATTAGATATGCTGTGGGCACCTGGATGGGATCCTGGACCAGAAAGAAAAGGAAGTCGTTGGAACATCTAGTGAAATGTGAACAGGGCCTGTGGGTTAAGTGGCCGGTCTGCGGCAAAGTTCATTTCCTATTCTAGAGAGTTAAAGTGCTAGTTACTCAGGGGAGTGCCCTTGCTTTTAGGAAACTACACTGGAATGTGTAGGAGTGACAGGACATCCTGCTCCAAGAAGGTTCTGAAAAAGACCAATGACAGAATGTGTGTGTGCATGCATATGTATGTATGGACACACACACAAACGTTCACAAGTACACGCACACACCCAGATGTACATACATGCACATGTGTGCATATACTCACGTGTACATTTGCATGTAGGGATATACACACACACTTGCGGGCATGCATATACACGTGCACACCCACATGCAGGGACACAATACACACGTGCAAATACATGTGTGCACACACACATGTACAAGCAATGCTATTCGTGCATGCACAGGGACGCGTATGCACATGTGTACATACACATGTGTGCATGTACGCCCACATGTACATCCATGTGTAGGGACATGTACACACGCATACACATGTGTACGTGTATATATGTATGCACCCACACAGACACACACACATACAGAGAGGGGGAAGGAGGGCAGGGGAAGGGGCACAACAGAGCCGACGTGGTAAACGTGAGCTCCAGGGGAGTCTGGATGAGGCAGGCATGAAGCTTGGTTGTTCTGTGATGGTAGCTTTTCTACGTTCACTCTGAAAAGTCACAGGGCCCACATTTCAATGAAGAGGTCTAAACATCAAGCACGTGTGTGTCCATGAGCAGAGGGGAAATGATGAATTCTGACATTCAATGGAAATGGGGATCCTGTGCACCCCACACACCACAGCACCAGGGTAAGGTCTCAGGATACGGGATAAAAGCGACCGGTCTGGGAGACAATGAGAGCAGAGGGGATGTAACAGGAGTGTGACCCCTGGCCTCAACACCATGCCCTGCTCTGCAGCAGCAACAGGCAACCTAGGCAGGTCTCCACCACAGCCCGTCCCGCCTCTAAAGCCCCCATGAACTCAGCTCAGTGAGCCTCAGGAAAGTGTTAGGTTCACTCACACTGGGAGGTTTTCTGACACGCTTACCACATGCATGCGTACGACACTCTCAATTAACTTACTCAATTTTCCTCATCTTTAATTTTTAAAATGCAGCTGCTGTCATAACTTGGGCCAAGATTATATATTTAGAAGAAAAAGTGTGTGTGCAGAGAAAAACAGCAAAGTACTTACAGACCAGGAATCTAAAATACTGAATGTAGTATAGATTTCAGTGAATGAGATTCTTTCCTGAGACATTTTAGAGTTCCACAAACAAATAAATAAAATACAGAGAACAGGAGAAATTTCACAGCATCAGCAAACACGGTGAAAAAGACTGACCTGCTTAGGAGAGCGTTACGGGGGTTGTGTGAGACTACCTGGGTGTGGGGCCAAGTGTGGGCACTGCCCAGAGGGGCGGTGGGCCTCAGACTCGTCCCCGCGCTGCAGGAGGAGCTCTCCACAGCACTGGCTCTGAACCCTCTTCTCTGGACAACACCCTCTGGGGCTGCTTTTCCTCTTCTCATGGCCCTTCTGTACGGAGTCCCCACACTGGAGCTGGACTGACTGAGGACTCAACAGATGTCTGGATTCTATTTTATTAAAAAACATATTTAAAGTTTTAGTTCATTAAAAATTACATTTTAAGCTTCTGACAGTAAATGCTATCTCCTAAGTCTATTCCTTAAGTTGATTAAATAAGAAAAAGATGACTGAGTGAGTTAATAATGCAACGGCCAACCCTGTAGTGAACCTGCAGCCATCACTGCGCACAGCACTACAGGCAGGGGGACTGGCACTGCCCGACTTCAGAGTTACTGCACAGCTGGGAATCAAGACAGTGTAGGAGGAACTGGGACAAAGACAGACACGACAACAGAACAGAATCCAGAATCCAGAAGGAGGCTCAGGCCCATCAATTGATTTAACAAATGCGACACGGTTATTAAATGAGAAAAAAAGACAGTCTTTTCAACAAATGGCATTAACACAACTGGACATACATGGGGGCCATGGACAGCCTGACCTATTATCTCACATCACACTCACAAATTCACTCGAAAGAGTGGATCACTGACCTAAACACCGAAACCATAGGATGTCTCTACCTCTATAGGAGAAAATCTTCATAAGCATGGGGCAGACAAAAATTTCTTTACAGGGTACAAAAAAGCACAAACCATTAAAGGAAACATTTGATAAATGCACTTTGTTGAAATTAAAACTTCTGCTCTTCGAAGCACTATTAAGAAAACGAAAGGCAAGCCACAGAATGGAAGGAGATTTGCAGTACTGTTATCTGAGAAAGGGCTTACATTGAAAAACCATAAAGAACTTGTATAACTCAATACCAAGAAGAGAAAAAGGAGAGGAACAGACTTGAATAGAAACATCACAGAAGACAGACAGACCAATGGCCCATGAAGAGATTTTCGTGACAAGTATTCGGGAAAATGCAAATTAAAACCGGAATGAGATACGACTATATACATAGGAGAAGAGCCAGAACTTAAAAGACTGACATTACCAAGAGGTGGCAAGGACACCCAAAGGGCAGATGTCCTCATGCCAGCAGTAAATCCTGGGATTTCAGACCAAATTTATGCCTCAACCTGTTGTTGTCTTCATGGCAAGCTCTCAGAAACTCATAATGGAGGAAGAAATGAAGCTAAAGCTTATACCCAAGTCCTAGTAGAAAGCAGAGTCCCCAGCTGACCACGTGAAGAAGTCCATCCACGGGGAAGACTGCACAACATCCTCGTCAGGTTTAAAGTTCTAAACATGGCAGCCTGAGCTCCAAGTGCTTCGTAAAGCTGAGTGAGCACCCCTTGCGGCTGACAAGGACGTCAGTTCCACTAGCCACAGGACACCTTACCTTCTTGTGTGCTTTGACATTTCACCTCTGCCCTGCAATTTTAATTGATCTGAGGAAGAATATAAGTTAAACCACCATACAGTATGACTATACTCAACTTAAATACATTGACTTTTTCTTTTAAAATTCTATAATCCAAATTACTGATATTTACAAGTACATAAAGACTTCATGAAGATTCTATATTTAAAGGTAAGTTTTCTAAAAACAGCAACTGTGCATCTTGAAGCCAGCGATGACTGACATCCAGAACAAGCTGGATCCACCACCCGGCCCTCACAGTGGAGTGGCAGCATACCTTGGGAACTAGGCAAGTCAGTCTCTCGCTCCTTCTGGCTGGAACTTTTGCTCCCAGGAGGGTTGCTCAAGCCCCACTCACACTCGGCAATGAGGTTCAAGACCGCCTCGTCATCTGCGTCCATAACCAAGCACTTCTTGGCCGAGGAGTCAGTACATCTGGCTCTGGAGTGGCACGGTCTGCAAAGAAAAGCCAACCCATTGCTGTCACTTCAGCCAGCAGCACATTCCAATGCGCGCAGACCCCGCAAAGGGAGGTGCTCCAGCTCATGCAGGCCCTAGCGAAGGGAGGCGCTCCAGCTCACACAGACCCCACAAAGGGAGGCGCCACAGCATGCGCAGGCCCCACAAAGGGAGGCACCGCAGCTCGCACAGGCCCCACAAAGGGAGATGCTGTTCTGCCAGCACCGACATAAGGGCTCTGCAGAGGAGGAGCTGGTGCAACCACAGAACAATGGCTCTCGGCACCTTGACAAAAGTGAAGTCAAAGCAGGACTCAGCAAGGACGAGTGGTGATGGAAAGGAAGGTCACATAATGTTACCACGCCATCCCAGCATGTGAAGAACCCCACCAGGATCTGTTCAAGAATGAGAATTCCAGAAAGCTGCTGTGTTCTGCGATCTTCTAACGTGCTCTTTTCCCAGCATATCCACGATGCGATACACGTGATCAAGAAAGTGAAAGGAGGGGCCAGCCCTGTGGCACAGTGGTTAAGTTCGAGCACTCCACTTCAGTGGCCCAGGGTTCACGGGTTCAGATCCTGGGCGTGGACCCAACACCGCTCGTCAAGCCACACTGTGGCAGTGTCCCACATAAAATAGACGAAGATTGGCACAGATGTCAGCTTAGTGACAATCTTCCTCAAGCAAAAACAGGAAGGTTGACAAGAGATGTTAGCTCAGAGCCAAGCTTCCTCACAAAAGAAAAGAAGAAAGTTAAAGGATGTGTGTTCCAAATTTCCATTTTAATGTTAAGTGAAAATGTTTCCACACTGACTGAAATGTGAGGTGCTTTAGAATATGACATCCCTCCCAAGGATGACCCTCCACATGAGGATGAACACACTCAAAGGAGACCTCATTTCCAACAAGGGCAGCTTGAAATGCCACTCTCCAAAATAATACTCAACCCACACACTACACCTGATCATACTCTAAGAGATTTATTTTCTGCACTGCCAGTGTCCCCGATCCCTGCAGGAAGGGACTGGGTTCTCCTTCCGGGTCCACCCACAGGAGCCTGACAGCTGACACATTTCGGCTCTTGTGGATCTCTGCTGTCACCAGCGGATCATAATGAGGTTGCACCAGATCCATAAAGATCTATTAGGTCCTTTGAACTCTAAACTCAGTGATGATTCGGTCTTGAGATTATCATGGACAGGTAAACTACTAAACATTGCTAAAAGAAATTAGAGAAGACATAAATAAAAGGAAACGCATTCCACGTTCATAGATGGGGAGACTTAACATGGTTAAAAATGTCAGTACTACCCAAAGCAATCTACAGAATCAGTGCAATCCCTATTAAAATCCCAACGACATTTCTTGCAGAAATAGAAAAACCCACCCTAAAATTCATCTGGAATCTCACGAGACTCCATATAGCCAAAACAATCTTGAAAAAGAAAATCAAGTATTAGAACTAGACTCAGACATGGCAGAAATGCTGGAACGACCAGACCAGGATTTACAACAACTATGATTAATACACTAAGGGCTACTGTGTAAAAAGCAAACAGCCAGGGCCGGCCCAGTGGCACAACGGTTAAGTGCGCACGTTCCACTTTGGCGGCCTGGGGTTCACCAGTTGGGATCCCAGCTGCGGACATGGCACTGCTTGGCACGCCATGCTGTGGTAGGCGTCCCACATATAAAGTAGAGGAAGATGGGCACGGATGTTAGCTCAGGGCCAGGCTTCCTGAGTGAAAAGAGGAGGATTAGCAGCAGTTAGCTCAGGACTAATCTTCCTCAAACAAACAAAAAAAAAGCAGATGGCCATGCAAGAGCAAGTGGGAAACATAAGGAGAGAGATGGGAATTCTAAGAAGGAATCAAAAAGAAATCCTAGCACTCAAAAACACTAACAGAAAGGAAGAATGAATGCCTTTGATGGGCTCATTAGTAGACAGGCCATGGCTGAGGAAAGAAATCTCTGAGTTTGAGGCTATCTCAATAGAAACCAAAAAAAGTGAAAAGTAAGGAGGAAAAAAAGGCTGAAAAAAGAGAAAGAAAACCAGAATAGAATACCCAAGAATCAAGGGACAACTACAAAAGGTGTAATATACACGTAATGAGAATATCAGAAGAGAGAAAGAAAGGAACAGAAAAAACTATTTGAAGAAGCAAAGACTGAAAATTTCCTCAAATTAACATCAGATCCCAAACCACAGGTGCAGGAAGCTGTGAGAACATCAGCAGGACAAACATCCAAAAATTACATCAAGGAACATCGTCTTCAAACTGGAGAAAATCAAAGACAAAGGAAAAAATTTTGAAATAAGCCAGAGGAAAAAGAATGCCTTACCTACAGAGGAAGAAATCTGACTTCTCCTCAGAAACCAAGCAAGCAAGAGAGAGTGGAGCGAAATATTTAAAGTGTCAAGAGAAAAAAAGCTATCAACGTAGAATTTGACATCCTGAAAATTATCATTCAACAGTGAGGGAGACATAAAGACTTTCTTAGATAAACAAAAATTGAGGGAATTTATGGCCAGTAGACCTGCCTTGTAAGAAATGTTAAAAGAAGTTATTCAGAGAGAAGGAAAATGATACAAGTCAGAACCTTGGGTCTACATAAAGAAAAGAAGAGTACTAGAAAAGGAATAAGAGAAGGTAAAATAAAAACTTTTTTCTTATTCATAGTTGATCTAACATAAAAGTTTGTTTAAAATAATAACAACAACAATGTATTCAACTATGTATGCTCATGTTTTACGTGCATGATTATAGCTTAGATTTAAATGAAATAAACGACAGCAATGATATAAGGGACAGGAGAGAGGAATTATGAATATTTTGTCAGTGTAAGGTATTTGCACTGTGTGTGAATCAGTATAGTGGTATTTGAAAGTGGACCTGGATTGGGTGTAAATGTACACTGCGTACTCTAGAGCAACCACTTAAAAAAGAAAAAATATAACTATATGCTAAGAAAGGAGAGAAAATGGAGTCTTACAAAATGCTCATTTAAAACTACAAAGGGAAGAAAAAGAGCAGAAGACAAGAATAGTAACACAGAACAAGGGCAATGAGTAGAAAACAGTAACAAATATTGTAAATATTAATCCAACCATATCAGTAATCACTTTAAATATCAATGATCTAAATACACCAACTAAAAGACATAGATTGTCAGAGTGGATCAAAAAACAAGACCCAACTACACGGTGTCTACAAGAAACGCACATATAAAGACACATAGATTAACAGTAAAGAAATAGAGATAAATATACCAGGCTGACACTAATCAAAAGAAAGCTGGAGTAGGGGCTGGCCCCGTGGCCGAGTGGTTAAGTTTGTGCACTCCGCTGCAGGCGGCCCAGTGTTTCGTTGGTTCGAATCCTGGGCGTGGACATGGCACTGCTCATCAGACCACGCTGAGGCAGCGTCTCACATGCCACAACTAGAAGGACCCACAACGAAGAATATACAACTATGTACCGGGGGGCTTTGGGGAGAAAAAGGAAAAAATAAAAAAAAAAATCTTTAAAAAAAAAAAAAAAAAGAAAGCTGGAGTAGTCATATTAATTTCAGACAGAGCTGACTCCAAAGCAAGGAAGGTTATCAAGAATAAAGAGAGGCATTACATAATGATAAGGGGTCAATTCTCCAAAAGACACTACAATCCTTAATGCATATGCACCTAACAACAGAGCATCAAAATACGTGAGGCAAAAAACTGATACAACTACAGGAGAGACAGACGCATCCACTATTACAGGGAGAGATTTCAACACCCCTCTAATAGAAAGAGACCAATCCAGCAGGCAGAAAACCAGTAAGGACACAGTGAACTCAACAACACCATCAATGAATTGGATGTGGTGACAACTACAGACCACGTCATCCAATGACTGCAGATTACACATTCTTCTCAGGCTCACATGGAACCTTCACCAAGACAGGGGATGTCCTGAGTCATAAAACACACCTTTACAAATTTAAAAGAAGAGAAATCACACAATGTCTGCTCTCAGACCACAACGGAATTAAACCAGTAATCAATAACAGAAGGATAACTGGAAAATCCCAAAATACTTGGGGATTAAAAAACACATTTCTAAATAACGTGTCAAAAAAGAAATCTTATGAGAAATTAAAAAACATTTTGAACTATATGAAAAAGAAAATACATCTTACTAAAATTTGTGGGATGCGGTGGAATCAATGCTTAGAGGGAAATTTACAGCATTGAATGCATGTGTTAGGAAAACAGTAAGATCTAAAAAGTAATAATCCAAGCTTCCACCTTAGGAAACTAGAAAAAGAAGAGCAAATAAAATCCAAAGTAAGCAGAAGAAAAAACCTAACAAAAATTAGAGCAGAAATAATGAAAGCCGGCCCCATGGCCGAATGGTTAAGTTCACACGCTCTGTTTCAGCAGCCCAGGGTTTCGCCAGTTCGAATCCCGGGCACGGACATGGCGCTGCTCATCTAGGCCATGCTGAGGCAGCATCCCACGTGCCACAACTGGAAGGACCCACAACTAAAAATATACAACTATGTACTGGGGGGTTTTGGAGAGAAAAAGAAAAAATAAAATCCTAAAAAAGAAAAAAATTAGAGCAGAAATCAATGAAATTGAAAACAGGAAATCAATAGAGAAAAACCAACAAATCCAAAAACCAGTTTATTACAAAGATAAATAAAATCAAAAAATCTCTATATTGGGTTAATTAAGAAAAGAAGAGAGAAATTATGAACATCAGAAATGAAAAAGGGGTACAACTACAGATCCCACAGACATTAGAAGACTAATAAAGGAACACTATAAACAACTCTATGCCCACAAGTCTGATAATCTAGATGTAACGGAGCAGTTCTTAGAAAGACACAATCTACCAAAACTCACTTGAGGAGAAATGGATAATCTGACTAGACATATTTATTAAAGATATTGAATCAATAATTAATAGCCTTCCAAAACACCAGGTCCAGATGGGTTCACTGGTGAATTCTACCAAACATTTAAAGAAGAAATTACATCAATTCTCTAATCTCTTACAAAAGATAGAAGCAAAGGGAATACTTTCATTCTATGAGGCCAGCATTAGCCTAATACGAGAAGCAGCAAAAACAATACAAGAAAGCTATAGACCAATATCTCTTATGAACATAGATGCAAAAATCCTCAACAAAATATTAGCAATTTGAATCCAACAATGTATAAAAAGAATTATACACCATGACCAAGTGGGATTTATTCCAAGGGTATGCAAGGGTGACTCAACACTGGAAAATTAATTAATGTAATCCACCACATCAACAGACAAAAGAAAAGAAAAATCACATGATCCTATTAATAGATGCAGAAAAACCATTTGGCAAAATCCAACATCCATTCATGATAAAAACGGTCAGTAAACTAGGAACAGAGGGAAACTTCCTCAACTTGATAAAGAACACCTACAAAAACCTACAGCTAACCTCACTCTTGGTGGTGAGAAACGTGAAGCTTTCCTGCTAAAATTAGGAACAAGGCAAAGACGTCCACTCTCACCACTGCTTTTCAACATCATACTGCAAGTCTCAGCAAATGCAATAAGACAAGAAAAGAAATAAAAGGTATACAGATTGGGAAGGAATAAATAAAACTGTCCTTGTTCACAGATGACATGATCCTCTACGTAGAAAATCCCAAAGAATCAACTGGGAAGAAAAAACAAAACTCCAGGAGCTAAGAAGTGATTATGGCAAGGTTGCAAAATACAAGGTGTTATGGGTCACACTGTGTCCCCCAATGCCTGGGACCGCTGAATGTGCCCTTATTTGGAAATAGGGTCTTTTTTTTTTTCTTGCTGGGAAAGATTTGCTCTGAGCTAACATCTGTTGCCAATCTTCCTCTCTTGTTTTTTTCCTCCCCAAAGCCCCAGTACATAGTTGTATATTGTAGTTGTGAATCCTTCTAGTTCTTTTATGTGAGCCATCGCCACAGCACAGCTACTGACAGATGAGTGGTGTGGTTCCATGCCTGGGAACTGAACCTGGGCCGCTGAAGCAGAGCGTGCCAAACTTTAACCACTAGGCCATCAGGGCTGGCTCTGGAAAAACGGTCTTTACAGAGGTAATCAAGTCAACATGAGGACATTCTGGTGGGCCCTAATCTACTATGACTGGTATCTTATAAAAATGGGAAATTGGAGACAGAAATACACATGCATAAAGGGAAGATTCTGTGAAAAGACACAGAGAGGGGCTGGCCCCGTGGCCCAGTGGTTAAGTTCGTGCGCTGTGCTGCAGGTGGCCCAGTGTTTCATTGGTTCGAATCCTGGGCGCGGACATGGCACTGCTCATCAAATCACGCTGAGGCGGCGTCCCACATGCCACAACTAGAAGGACCCACAATGAAGAACATACAACTATGTACTGGGGGGCTTTGGGGAGACAAAGGAAAAAAATAAAATCTTTAAAAAAAAAAAAAGACACAGAGAGAAGACAGCCACATGAAGATAGAGGATTAAAACGAGGCATCTACAAGGCAAGGAACACCAAAGACTGCCAGCAAACTACAAGAAGCGAGGAGTCATGGAATGGATTCTCCCTCAAGGCCTCCAGAAGAAACAACCCAACCCTGTCGACACCTTGACTTCAGACTTCCAACCTTAAGAACTGTGAGACATTTCTGTTACGTTAAGCTGCCCAGTTTGTGGTACTTTGCTCCATCAGCCCTAGGAAACTAATACACAAGGTGAGTATACAAAAGTCAAATGCTTTCTTATATACCAGCAATGAGTAATTTGAAATTAAAATCTCAATTAAATTTGAAATTAAAAAACAGTAACATTTACATGAGCATCAAAAAATGACATAGTAAGGTATAAATCTAAAAAAACACATACAAGATCTATATGAGGAAAACTACAAACCTCTGATAAATGAAATCAAAGAACTAAATGAATGGGGAGATGGTCCATGTTCATATACAGGAAGATTCAATAGTGTCAAGATGTCAGTTCCTCCCAATACAATGTGTAGATGCAAAGCAATCCCAACCAAAATCCCAGTAAGGTATTTTGTGGATACTGTCAAATTGACTCTAAAGTTTATATGGAGAGACAGAAGACCTAATATTGGCAACTCAATACCGAAAGAGAAGAACAAAGTCAGAGGACTGGCACCATCGACGCATGACCTCATATAAAGAAAGGGGCTGGGAAGCTCTTTGGGGCCTCTTTTATAAGAGCACCAACCCCACTCATGAGGGCTCTACCTTCATGACCTCATCACCTCCCAAAGGCCCTATCTCCTAACACCATCACATCGGGGGTTACAATTTCAACATATGAATTTTGGGGGGCAAGAAAACTTTCAGAACATTGCACATGGTAGCAGGTGCAGCTGTCTACACAGCAATTAGTGTGGTCCGAAATGGGGAAGTAAGGGGGCGGGGGCTCCAGGGGAGGCATCTGAGGAAATAGGAGAGCCCAAGGATTTAGAACTGATCTTGAGACATTAGAGCAGAAGTTGGCAAGTATGGTCCACAGGTCAAGTCTGGCCCACTGCTTATTTTTATGAAGTTTTACTGGAACACAGTCATTCGTTTAGGTATTGCCTATGGCTACACAGATACAGTTCATAAATTGAGCAGAGATCATATGGCCTACAGAGCTAAAAATATTGCCTCTCCAGCCCTTTAAAAAAAAAGTTGGCCAACTCCTACATTAGAGGAATTTACAGATGAGTTAAGGCATATAATGCGAGAAAAAGATAACTATTTAAAGCTTCAGACAAAACAAAATAGTGTACAAGAAGAGTACATAATTGTAGCACATTACAAGCAATGTAAACACAGTTTATTGACTTTTGCCCTTTATAATCAACCCATACACACAGCACAAAGACTCTTTATGGTTTCAGAACACATTTAAATGCCATCAACCCTGACAACCTAAGCTTAAACTTAAAGACGCAGATGGCAGGAGACAGGAGGACAGGAGGTGGCGTGGAAGTGATGCACAGGCAGCACATGCTCCCACGGCCCAACCAGAGCCGAGCCAGGAGCACTGGCCACAGGGCACTGGGAGGAGACTGCAGGAGGAGCATATCCCCCGAGCTGTCACCACGGGGAGGGGAAAGAAGGGCCATGGCAGCAGTCAGATCACACCCACAAACGGCACTGTGGTTGTACCATTGGGAGATGAGAGAGCAGCTCCGTCAGAAGCTGGAAGCAGGGAGAAGCAGAGGTGGCTGCCACTGAGCAGTGGGCCAAGGAGTGGGACAAGGGACTGCTGTTTCTCATCACAAATCCTTGTGCTATTTGATTTTACATGTATTACCGTAATAAACATCTTAAATATTAAAAATAGCTTGCAGAAGATGTGGACACCAGGAAGAGAGAAACTCGGTGCCACCACCTCCTTGAGCCCCAGGTGGCGTCGGTGCCTGTCCCTCCCTCTTCTCTTGTGTGTGTGCCCTTTAGGTGGCCATCAGCACCCAAAGTAGTTTACATCCTTTAGTCAAACATTCTACCAACAGGCAAGTCTGAACAACCTCTCTCAAAGTTCAGACAGCACTTTTGCTCATACCTTCCGACGCTGGAAACATCTAGGAAGCTCTGCTTTGAGCTGAGTGACTCCTCCGAAGCAAAATGCAGCCAGGATGCTTTCCGCTCGCTCTCTCGCACAGGGCGATCGTCTAGGGAGAAAACGCCACAGAGGAATGAGCAAGCAACAGGCCCCTACACCCAATCCCGCAGGTGCACCTTCCAGCATCCCTGGAGCACACACCTTCCCCTTGGGAGGCAGCAAGGGCGCCCCCGTCACCTGCCCTGCTGCACACTGCACATGAACAGGACTGCCATTGCTTGTTCTAGGAGCTTCCACCCCTTGGGGCTGACACTGCCACAGCATCTCCCCAGAAGCACTAGGGAGACCCAGTAAAGGAATGCCGGGCTCTGGTGGCTCCACATGGTCTCCCAGAGATGCTGAGCGACGGTTCTAAGAGGGCCGGCCTGCTCGTACAAAGCTCACCCCCTGACACTGCTCTGGAGGCAGGCTGCTGCCGCAGAAGAAGAAACACACACGCGAGTTCACACACAAGCACATCCTTCTCATCTCCTTTCTTTTAGCGCACACACTGGGTGCTGGATGAGGTTCTCAAACCACACAGAGCACATCTGAAGAGTCTCCACAGATGAGAATCCTGGACATGTGAAAGACAGAGGATGTCCCAGCTGTGTGTTTATGCCTGGGGTGTGCATCCTCAGATCTTCAGGAACACAGACGAGAAGCTTACACTGTCCCCATATGTGAGCCCTGGGCCTTGGACGGCCTCAACAACTCCTGCTCCTTCCCCAGTAAATGCCTGAAGTGGGATGATTCCCCAACGCTAGAAGTCAGTGCACTGGAACTTGCAACACATTTTACCACAGAATTACTGTTATAAATGGTGGTTAACTTCTGAAGCTGCCTCCAAAAAGAGTATTCAACCTATGGCACACCCCAAAAAGTACATGCACTCATGCGTCACTTAACAATGGGGACACGTTCTGAGAAACACGTGGTTAGGCAATTTCACCGTTGTGCGAACATCACAGAGTGACTCACACAAACCTAGACGGTACAGCCTACTATAGCCCAGGCTGTATGGTACTAATCTTATGGGACTACTATCGTCTACGCGGTCCATCGTTGATGTGACATTGTTATAGGGCGCAAGACTATATTACAATAAGAAATGAGTAAAAGAGGAATAGCAACAATAAACACTTTCAAAGCAGAAAAACAAAGCAGTTGTGAAAATCATACAGACAGAGAAGTGCCTCTGCATGTGGGACACCCCCCAGGAGCTCCTCCTTGAGACACAACCACCTTCTAATCCTGCTCTGTCGTCTGCTCGGTGACCCTGGGCCATCTTACACCGTCTGGGATCTCCTGACCTCTGTTGTTCCCACTTCCCTCAAACACAGCAGCTGCTCTCACAGCCTGGACAGTCCTTTGTGTAACACCACACAAGTCTATTCACTGGGCCGTGACTTCCTTTTGAGTCAGTTCTAAATCCCTACTCTAAAAACATTTCTCTTCACTGCTCCACTATAAATTCAAACTCAACATGGCTAAAATCAAATGCAAACTCACATACTCCCCAAAACTAAGCCTTCTCCTGACTGCAACATTCTCCCAGACCGCACAACCCCTAGACCCATATGGGGTGCCCCCTTTCTTCCCTGACCCTGCTTCCACCCCACAGCCCTTCCCAGGCCAACCCCAACACCTCCTCACTGTCCTCCTCCACAATCCTCCAGGGCCTTCCAGTTACTCACTGGAACCCAGGGCTGAGCTCCAAGCTGGCTGGGCACCCTGCTGGGCGGCCCTTCGGAGAGTTCCATGACTCCTGCAATGACCTTGATTTTCGAGTACGTTCCTTTTGCATGTCTGAAAATACCTTTCACATGTGGAAAGACTCTCATATCCCTTCTCTATACAAGCACTATAAGATTCTGAATCTAAAACTTTTATGACAAAGGGAAAGTAATGATTTAAGACTGATGACTGCAAAAATTCCCCATAAGGACTGAAATGCCTCCAAAAAAGAACCAAAGTCAACTGTTTAACAGTCAAAAATAAGTTGGAACACAGGCATTTATTCGTGCCAAATATCTAAAATTTAAAATTAAACATGAAAATTCTAAGTAGGTTTGAAACTAAAGAGTGCTTTTGGGGGTCAGTCATAATACTCACAGCCCACGCCCGTGCCCAGGCCCACTGGTGTGGCCCAGCAGAGCAGCCAGGCTGCCCAGAGCCACGGCCCACCGGCGCAGGGGCACCAGGAGGGAAGCCAACACACACACATGGCTGAGGTGTTCATGCGAGAATCTGCTGGCAGCTGAGACGCAGAACATGAGGTTTCTGTAGATCCTGAGAGGACAGTGGCTGTGCTGTGCTCACAGGTCAGCTTGTACCACACGGACGCTGGTGATAAGCGCTGCCACGATCTGGGACTCACTCTGGTTTTGTTAGGCCAGCACTCAAGAGACGGAGACACCCCTGACTGCCCCCTCGCCTTGCCAGGCAGCGAACGGGCCCTCGGGATTGAGGACACACAGGGATCGCCAGAGACACAGAAGGACCACTATCTTTCAACCAGACAGTCCTGCACCACCGTTCCTCGGCTCTCATCACCCCCTCAACAGGAGGACAGAGGGTATGAGAGCCCAAGCCCTCTCCTTCTCCTCACTCCACAGTCAGCCTGCCCTCGGGCCTAAGCTCCAGCTCCCTCCCCTGGAAGCAAAACACAGGGGAGCACTGGCAGTGCCACTAGCCACATGCTCAAGGCAAAAACAACTCCTGGTAGTCAGTGAAGCAGGTGGGAAGGTGCCACTGTGGCTTCCTCAAGTGCAACCCTCCCACCTGGGCATGTCCAGTGCGCAGCCTTGAAGCTCTGCCTGCGAGCCTGTCAGAAATTCATTTCTTTTAGGGACACAGACTACTAAGCCAAGCTGGTGGCTGCACCCACCCACAGAACCTGTCTCCCTCCTGTCACCTGGAAGAGGGTGAGGCACAATGAACTTCTCGTCCTATATCCTTCCAGGTGGATGCGAAACTAGGTAGAGTCCAGCTGTCTACCTGAGCCTGAGGTGACGCCCAGGAGGCCTTGGAAGGAAACAGCGCACCAGAAGTTCAGGAACGCACCCAAGTCAACAGCTAGAAAGTGGAGAGCCAGAAAGTGACCAAGCAGCGTGGCCCACACCTTGCTCCTGGCCTCCCTGGCAGTTATCTGTGCCCACAGGGATCCCTGCCACCTTCCCAGACAGCTCCCCTACAAGACCCATCGTGCGAGACACAGCGTCTCACACCATCAGAGTAGAAAATCAACTTCCCTTTTCAGAGAAACCAACAGCATGACTGCTCTGGGAGCACAAACACCCTTACGGCTCCACTGAGCAAGCACGGCCAAGGCGCCTACCCAGTTGCCTGAGCTTCGGGAGCATGTGCACAACAAAGAGGCGGTAATCAGACTCATTCTTCACCACAGGGTTCAGCCGGAAGTCCACGTCCAAGAGTTCAGGCAAGCAGTGAAGCCGGAACACTTCAGCTAGCGAGGAGACGCAGTTGTAGTAGAGACTGAGGCTCTCCAGCGTAGTGAGGTACTCAATGCCCTGTGCAGAGGACAAAACGCCCATTAGTTCACACTGTCAGAAATAAACACACAGTAAAATGGGGCATCAACAGGAACCGACCACACAAATTAACACACGCACTTGCAACGAACAGGTGCCGTTATCAGGAACAGCGTGCAGATAAAACGGGTTCTACAGAGGAGGTTCTCTGTCTTCACACACGGTGAAGCGACTGTGCAGGGAAGTTTGAAACGCCATGTTTCCAACAGTCATAAAAGTACTGAGGACCACTGATGGCTACTGAGTTCTCGTCATGCGCCAAGCTAAGGGACTGACACAATTTCATTCAATCTGCACACACCCTATAGGGCAAGAACTATTATTGCTGCCATTTTACAGATTTGAAAACTGAGTCTTGAGGAGGTTGAGAGATGAGTCAGCCCCGAAAACAGCCTGGACTGAAACTCAAAAGGGACTCTGAGCAGACCCCTAACCCCCACGTCAGGGATACTGGGAGCATCATGTTACAGGGCAGTGAAGCCCAGCCTCTCTTTCAAGGTAAGAAGCCCCTCTCTATATCAAGCCATGAGCAGTGTTTACACAACCTTCCCACCTGCCATCACCTGAGTCATGTCCCAGTCACTCACTAGGAGCGAGCACCTGCACGTCAAGCACACTGCAGCGAGCACCACACTCAGGTGCTGCCACGCAAGGGCCCGAGGCCACCAAGAGTCAGGCTGCAAACAGACTCGAGTACAGAAAGGGGGAGAGGAAACACAGCTGACAGAGGGCTGGAGAGTGATGGGCACCGCCCTCGGGTGCCGCCATGCAAGGGCTGAGAGTCAGGCCGCAAACAGACTCGAGTACAGAAAGGGGGAGAGGAAACACAGCTGACAGAGGGCTGGAGAGTGATGGGCACCGCCCTCGGGTGCCGCCATGCAAGGGCTGAGAGTCAGGCCGCAAACAGATTCAAGTACAGAAAGTGGGAGAGGAAACACAGCTGACAGAGGGCTGCAGAGTGATGGGCACCGCCCTCGGGTGCCGCCATGCAAGGGCTGAGAGTCAGGCCGCAAACAGACTCAAGTACAGAAAGGGGGAGAGGAAACACAGCTGACAGAGGGCTGGAGAGTGATGGGCACCGCCCTCGGGTGCCGCCATGCAAGGGCTGAGAGTCAGGCCGCAAACAGACTCGAGTACAGAAAGTGGGAGAGGAAACACAGCTGACAGAGGGCTGGAGAGTGATGGGCACCGCCCTCGGGTGCCGCCATGCAAGGGCTGAGAGTCAGGCCGCAAACAGACTCAAGTACAGAAAGTGGGAGAGGAAACACAGCTGACAGAGGGCTGCAGAGTGATGGGCACCGCCCTCGGGTGCCGCCATGCAAGGGCTGAGAGTCAGGCCGCAAACAGACTCAAGTACAGAAAGGGGGAGAGGAAACACAGCTGACAGAGGGCTGCAGAGTGATGGGCACCGCCCTCGGGTGCCGCCATGCAAGGGCTGAGAGTCAGGCCGCAAACAGACTCGAGTACAGAAAGTGGGAGAGGAAACACAGCTGACAAGAGGGACGCAGAGCAATGGCCATACACATGTTAGTCATTTTGGCCTTGTTTTATTGCCTTTGAAGATACAACCATCTTCATCAGAGAGCTATGACTTTTGGTTGTCAAAGTAATTTAAAGATGCAAAGTGATGTGTAAGAAATCCAGCTTACAGTAAACACAAGAAAAATACCACCACACTTATAATCATTGTTCCATGTACTATTTACAATTATTATAAGCATAGTTATAAAACAGATTGCATTTTTTACTATAAATCTACTTTCCACTGCTGTGGATAGCAATAAATTTTCTTTTAAGAAACAAATCTAAAACTTACCTCTAGACTAACCAGCGAGTTGCGTGACAGATCTAAAGATTTTAGACCTGTTAAACTCATCAAAGAATTTCCTAGGTGAGTAATCTTTTCTTGGTAAGTCCCAGGAATAGATAATGATCGAAGTTCAGCTAAGAATAGAAAATTATGAGATTTTTAACCTTTGTTTTTATTCAAAATAAATTATTCTGATAAAAGCAAGATATAAACTCACAATCTGAAAAAGCCACAAAAATAATGCAACTCACTCAAAGTTTGAACATCAATATTAAAGAACAAGAATTGCATTTAAAGTTTTAGCTTATGTTTACCTTCAAAATTTCTCCAAGCCCACGCCCTGGCCCCACTCCCACTGCTTCTCCCTCCAAAACTCTCTCTCACCAGAAATACCCTCCTAACTGGGCGTCCACGTCCACTCCTGGCTGCTCATCCCCAGCATCTAAGCAGCCTCCATGCAGGGATCACAACACGAAACCTGCAAGTTAGCAACCGACCGCTCCACGCCATTACACGTGAGAGCTGACCACGTGCCTGTGCGCCATGTGCCTCTGCAGGGCACCCAGTAAGCAGCCACAAATAAGCGTCACCACAAAAGCGGGTTTCTGCCATCCAAAGACAGGCTGGGCCTGGACACACCAACACTTTCCCAGGAATATTTATGTTTTAAGACACGTCTTGATTAAATTTAAAATCGGGCTTTCAGTTCCAGACAAGACGGAGTAGACACATTTCACCCTACTCCTCCCCACTTACTGTACCTAAAAGCCCTGCACAACAATAAAGGAAACCAGCACCAGACGACTCTGAAGGGCGAGGAACAGAAGGCCAACTGCCTAGGGACCTTGAGAAAACAGCTAGGCCGTGAGTGCCCTGGGTTGGCTTTGGGGTTTTCTGTTTGTTTCGTCTCCTATACATCCCAACCTGAGGGCAAAAGAAGCTGGCAACCCAGAAACAGCAACGGACACTGACCAGAAAATAAGGGTAAACCTGCTGCCCATGGTCCAAGGACCAGGAGGGGAGTCTTGCAGAACAGAGCAACAGTGGCCCCACTCCAGCCCAACACCAAGGAAAAAGCACACTTCGTACACCTGCATTGTGCAGTGGCCAGCACCAGGACCCTGTGAGTGGACCCTGACTACTCACAGGGTACTGGCCTGGGTGTCACGAGGTGCTGCCCTTCCCCTCCCGGCCCACAGAGGTCTGCAGCGGCTGTGTGTGTGACAGGAGCCCAGCAACCACCTCAGCAGCAAAGCAGCACCCCGTGAGTGCCAGTGATAAGCAATGAGATTTAAATAGGAAACAGAGTCCTACAATACCCAAAACGTCCACAATACAATAAAAAATAACCAAGAACTAGGAAAACTTCATTTGAATGAGGAAAAAAAATCAACAGATACCAACACTGAGATGACAGAAGTCAGAATTATCTAACAAGAATTTTAAAGCAACAGTTATAAAAATACTTCAATGAGCAGTTATAAACACTCTTGAAACAAATGAATAAATAGGAAGTCTTGGCAAAGAAACAGAAGATATAAAAAAGAAACAAGCAGAAATTTAAGAAATGAAAAATACAATAACTGAAACAAAAAACAAATCTCAGGAGCAGCTCAATAACAGAATGGAAATGACACAGGGAAAAATTTTAAAAAGAAGTAACATAAAGAGAGACTGATCAAAATTGTCTTATCTGACCAAGAGAGAGAAAACAGAGTTAAAAAGAAATGAACAGTGCCCCAGGGACCTGTGGAAGAAGAAAAGGAGATCTAACATTCACATCATTGGGGTCCCGGTGGAGTTCCAATCACAGTTCCAAGAAGAGAAAGACAGAATGGCTAAAAACAAAAAATCTTAAAAATTAAAGAAACACTGGCTGACAGCATCCCAAATCTGGCAAAAGACATAATTTTGGCAAAAGACATTCAAGAAGTTGAGAAATCCCTAAACAGAATAAAAGTAAAAAATGCCATGCCCAAACATAAGACTGCAACTACTGAAAACTAAAGACAATGAGAGAATCTTGAAAGCAACCAGGGAGAAAAGGCATTACCCACAGGGAAAAACGACTCACATGGCAGAGGATTACTCTTGAGAAGCCACAGAGGCCTGAAGGAAGTAGTGTCGCAGACATCAAGTGATTTAAGAAAAGAAATTTCAACCCAGAAGTCTATATCTACCGAAAACATCCTTCAAGACTGAAAGCAAAATAAAGACACAGATCTTCCTCAACTTATGATGCGGTTCCAGCCCAATTAACCCATCGCAGGTTGAAAATAGCAAAGCCAGAAGTGTATGTAACAGACCTAAACTAGCAAATATCATAGCTTAGCCTTGCCTACTTTAAGCACGCTCACAACACTCACACTCGGCTACAGGTGGTCAGAATCATCTAACACCAAGCCTATTCTATAACACAGTGCTGAACACCTCATGTAATTTATTGAATACTCTACTGAAAGTGAACAACAAAATAGTTGTATGGGTACAGAATGGCTGTAGGTGTATCGGCTGTTTATCCTCATGACGCGTGGCTGATGGGAGCTGCAGCTCACTGCTGCCAGCATCACGAGCGGGGACCATCCCACACAGCACCGGCCTGGGAAAAGATCACAATTCAACATTCGAAGTACCATTTCTAGTGAATGCGTATTGCCTTCACACTTTCATAAACTGAAAATCTGTAAGTTGAACTATCGTAAGTCAGGGACCATCTGTATTCTCAAATGAAGAAACACTAAGACAATATGTCACCAGCAACACCTGCCTTAAGATAACTGCTAAAGAAAGCTTTTCAACCATAAAAGAAAAAATAAAAGAAGGAAACCAGGAACATCTGGAATGAGTGGAGAATAACAGAACAGGTAAACATGTGGGTAAATATGTTTCCTCTTGAGTTATTTAAAATGTTAGAGGACTCTGAAAATCCTATCATTCATGTAGTTCTCAAGGTATGCAGAGGAGACATTTCAAACAACTAAATTACGAAGGGGGAGGATAATGAAACCTCTACTTCACCTGAAGCAGGAAAACATCCACATAAGTAGACTGTGCTACATTACATAAATACACCACGATTTGTAGAGCAACCACTGGAAAACCCATACAGACACATGCTCATAAATACAATAAACAAATCAAAATGAAACACTAAAAAATACTCAAGTAAACCACAGGAAGCCAGGAAAAAGGAAACAAAAGGAGAAATAACAAAGGGAACAAATAGAAAACAAATGATAAAATAGCACATATCTACTGTATCAATAATTACATTAAATGTAAATGGTCTAAATACACTATAAAAGAGAAAGATTGGCAGGGTGGATAAAAATAATGGACAACCACACACTGTCTACAAGAAACTCACATCACACATGATACAGGTGGGTTAAAAGATTAAACAGTAAACCGATGGGAAAAGATATGCTCTGCAAACACCAGCCAAAAGAAAGCTGGAGGGGTGACACTAACATCAGATAAAGCGGACAGCTCAAGAAAGACAATTATCAGGGACAAAAACGAACACTACACATGCTACAAGGATCACCCCAACAAAAGGACATAAAAATCCTAAATAAGTATGCACCAAACAGAACACCTTCAAAACACACGAAGTGAAAAGAGAAACAAACAAATCCACAATTAGAGTCACGTGTTCAATACCCCTCTCCCAGTAACTAACAGAATCACTAGACAGAAAATCAGCAAGGATACAGTAGAATGGAACGACATCACCAGCCAATAGGATCTAACTGACAATTACATAATTCCACTCAACGACAGAGTGCACCTTCTCTTCACGTGCATTTGGGACATTCACCAATATAGACCCGATCATGAGCCATAAAAGAAACCTCAACAAGTTTTAAAAACTAAAATCATACAGATTATGTTCTCTGACCATAATGAAATCACCCTAGAATTGATAAAAGAAAGAGAAAAAAACAAGGAAAATCTCCAAACACATGAAAATGAAAAAAACACACTCCTAAACAATCCATAGGTCAAAGAGGAATCTCAAGGGAGATAAAAGAAATACATTGAACTGAATGAAAATGAAAACACAACAACAAAACTTGTGGCTGCAGCTAAAGCTGTGCTTAGAGGGAAATTCGTAGCACTAAAATATTTATATCAGAAAATTTAAGTCTCAAATCAATGATCTAAATCTTTACCTCAGGAATCTAGAAAACAAAGAGTAAAATAAATGCTAAGTAAGCAGAAGGAAGGAAATAATAAAGGACAGAATCAATGAAAAATGAAGCATAAAAACAATGGAGGAAAACCTATCAAACCAAAAACTGGCCCGCTGAAAAGATTAATAAAATTCATAGACCTCGAGCAACACTAAAAAGAGAGAGAAGACAAAAATGGCCAACAGCAGGCATGGAAGAAGGGTATCACTACAGACCCCACACATTCACAGGCCAATAAAGGAATACCACGAGCAGCTCTGTACACACAACTTCAACAACTTAGCTGAAATCAATCAACGTCACAGAACCCCACACAACCACAACTCCCCCAAGATGAAACATGACAGGAATAGTTCCATAGCTACTACAGAAGCTGAGTTTTTAGTTTAAAAGCTTCACATACAGAAGTCTCCAGGCCCACACGGTTTCACCGGAAAATTCCATCAAACAATAATTAGCACCAGTTCTACACAACCTGTTGTAGACAAAGAGGAGGAGGCCACACTTCCCAACCCATCTTACGAGCCCAGCACCAGCCTGACGCCAACCAGGCAAACCGGGACAGAGACAACCGCAGCAACCAAGCCCTCCGAGCAAGATCCGGAAGTCCTCCGCGGACGGCGGACCCAGGCCAGGAGCCCAGGGAAGGCTCGCCCCGCCAAGGCGAGCGCCGGCCTCCAGGACGAGGCCGCCCCAGGGCCCGGGGCTGGGGGCGCGGACCTGCCCGCGGCCCGCACACCAGACACGCGACGGCACAGACGTCAGCTCAGCCGCCGAACAGCGGCCAAGCGGCCCACCTTCGCCATCCTCCCAATTAGGGCCGAGCGCGGCAACAACCGCTCAGCAGCCCGGGCCGCGGGGGCTGCGGAGGGCGGGCGGGCGGGCGGCCTCCCCGCCCCTCCCCTGCTCTGCGGCCCACTCCCTCCACTTCCAGGCCCCATACCCTCCCCTCCCCCTCTCACCCCCAACCCTCCCCTAGCCCTCCTCACCCCTCCCCAAACCCTCGCCTCCCTGGCCTCGACCCCTCCCCACACCCTACAACGGCCCGCCCCTCCCCGCCCCCCCCCTCCCCGCCCCGCCCCCCAACGGCCCGGCCCCTCCCACAGCCTCCCGCTCCCCACCCCCCAACGGCCCGCCCCCTCCCCTTCCTCGGCCCCTCCCCACCGCCTCCCGCTCCCCACCACCCCCAACGGCCCCTCCCTGCACCCTCCCCTACCCCCTCCCCACCCCTTACCCCCCCCGCACCCCCGCAACGGCCCGCGCCCTCCGACCCCCTCGGCACCCCACACATCCCGGCCTGCGACAGTTCGGCCCCGACTCTGGGTGCCGGCGCCCCTGCCGAGGCCGCGGGGGACGCCTGGGCCCTCAGCCCGCGCCGCCCGCCCCCGCCGCCGCTGCCGCGCACCCAGATCGCGGTGAGGCGCCAGGCCGCTCTTCTCCCGGATCTTCTCCTCACACAGCACCAGCCGCGGGCCCGCCGGCGCCATGCTTTCAAACGGCACGCACCTGCCCGGCGCCTGCGTGCTGGGGCCCCGAGGGCGGCGGGGCGGAGCCAAGGATCCCCGTCGGGGTGGCCGCGGCGGCCCAGAGGAGGGGAGCTGGACGGGAGGGGCCCCGGGCGGCAGGCTGGGCGTGAGGCCCAGTCGCTCCAAAGTACCGGGCGGCGACCCTGGCCGCAGCCCCCGTCTGCTGTGCGCATGCTCTCCTCGGGGCGGTGCTGCCTCCTGGGCACGGTGCTCTCCTGGGCAAAGCCTGCGTGCCTGGGAGACCCGGCCCCAGCTGGACCTCCGCCCCAGCTGGAGACCCCTCCCGCCCCCAGCCTTGCTGATTATGTTGCGGACACCAAGTGCCCATGGTTCTCCCCAGGACCCCTGCTTGTGGGATCGCAGCGATCTCCCACCGCAGTCGCTCGGTGAGGCTGGTCCTCCTCTGTCCTTGTCCTCAAATCCCCCGGGCCGATCTTGTGGCTCACCACTGACCGGGAGGTTCACGGCCTGTCAGTCCCTCTAGGCCCGTTATGGAGCGTCGTGAGGAGCATTTAAGATCTGCGGGGTTTGGAGAAGTCCTCGTTCCGAATCCAAATCTGCCCCACCCAGCAGGAGCCCTGGGGTGCTCCCTCCCTTCCCCGACTCCTGCTGTTTGGGACTCCCTGCTACCCCTCAGCCCAGATTTGAGCAGCTTGGTGGGAACTTCCCCCATGGTATGTCATAGCCTGTGTGGTGGTAGCATGAGGGGTGTGTGGACTGGATGTAGACAGGGGATATAGGGCAGGGGCCATAAGATGGGGGGTTTGTGGATGGGGTGTAAGGGAGGTGTAGACGGGGTATAGGGGAGGTGTAGACAGGGGGTGTAGGGGAGGGGTATGGGGGTGTACACAGGGTGGTGGGGTGCAGGATGGAGCATGCAGGGTACCCGAATCTCTCCTGAGCAGAGCAGAGCTTCAAACCTGAGGCGTCAGGCCTCCCTGGGCCCTGGGCCAAGTCGTTTACTGAGGCAGGTGCCCACTCAGTAATACTTTGAGTCAGGGTTGCTGTGTAACTGACCAAGCTTCCAGTCCAGTTCTGCCCAGCGTTCCCCTCCTTGAGACGGTGGGGGCTTCGGGTGCATCCCAGGCAGGCAGGTGGGCGCCACATCTGGTGTCTCCACCGGTTAGAACATGTACAGCCAGGAGACTTGGAGGCAGACAACAAATACCCTGGCTTCTCAGAAGCAAACAACTGCAAACAAAGGCTTCTGTCGGCCCCACCCAAGAAAAGGAGCTCGTCAGGGCACAGCCCATGCTCCAAACACCCACTGCTTCCCCCTGCCTGCCAGTCACTTGAGGTCAGGTGGCCCAGTCTTGAGGCCGCAGCATGGAAGGTGGGTCTCTGCACATGTCCTGTGGGACAGCTCCACGCAGAGTCAGCACTTCTGTGTAATGGAAGTGCCAACAAAAGCTTTGGAATCGTGGTTTCTGCTTACTCAAGAATTGCACATTCGTGGTGGAAGAGACGCAAGACAGAAGAACCAAGATTAAATGCTCCACCGTGCAGAGTTCGCCAATGTTAGCATTTTCACATGAGTCCTGCAAGTACGTTTTCCAAGCCTGGAGATATTTTACAATAATGAGAGTATGCTGGGCATTCTCATATGTATACATACTTTTTTTACCTTTGTCGACGAAAATAATCCATAACCAATCTATAAATGAAAATTTGGGTGAGTTTATTCTGAGCTGAAATCTGAGGACCATGACCTGGGGCCTTTCTTCCCAAAGGAAGAAAGGGCACCAAAGAAGTGAGGTATACAGAGTGGTTATATACCCCCAAACAGGACGTTTCACATATGATTGAAATGTCCCTCCCACAATAGTCACAAGATTGCCCTGTCAGCACAGCGCTTGATGGACACAGCAGGTAGTGGGTCTGCTATCTCAGAGGGCATAGCAGGAGGCAAGTCTATTGTCGAGCTGGGTGGTCACAGGTGAGCGCAGCAATGAGTTTCTGGCCTAAGGAAAGATGCTTAATCCTTAAGGAGATGCCAGCGTTGGGAGGGTGAGGGAAGTTGCACCTTTATCTCAAGGGCCTTTGTTCTTGCCATAGGGAATATCTAAAGCAGATATACCATGCATACTCAACAGCCACATCAGGCCCTTTTGGAAAGACAAGGTGAGGCCAAATTAGGTTTATACCAAATGGCTTCCTCATATTCTCCAATATATCCTATTGCTTGCCATTTTTATTTGTCACCTTTTATGAACATTTTCTTATGTTACTGAATATTCAGCATCATTTATTGAACCTCATTTTTCATAGTCACATTAGGTCATGAACTAAACCCAGATTTATTTAGCCCATCTTCTGTTGCTGCACCTTCCATCTGTTCCCACTTTTTTATGGTGATGAGTCTAGTTGGGTATTGTTCTGAAGTTCCTTTGGAGAGAGCAAGGAGTGTCTGAGCCTGGAGCTGGGGCCAGGAAGCCCAGAGCAGGAAGGATTGACATGAAGTGGA